AAATTAGTGGTAGTGATGGTAGAAATCAGTGGTAGTGATGGTGTAAATCAGTGGTAGTGATTGTGTAAATCAGTGGTAGTGATGGTAGAAATCGATGGTAGTGATGGTGTAAATCGGTGGTAGTGATGGTAGAAATCAGCGGTAGTGATGGTGTAAATCAGTGGTAGTGATGGTGTAAATCAGTGGTAGTGATGGTGTAAATCAGTGGTAGTGATGGTAGAAATCAGTGGTAGTGATGGTGTAAATCAGTGGTAGTGATGGTATAAATCAGTGGTAGTGATGGTGTAAATCAGTGGTAGTGATGGTGTAAATCAGTGGTAGTGGTGGTGTAAATCAGTGGTAGTGATGGTAGAAATCGGTGGTAGTGATGGTGTAAATCGGTGGTAGTGATGGTAGAAATCAGTGGTAGTGATGGTGTAAATCAGTGGTAGTGATGGTGTAAATAAGTGGTAGTGATGGTGTAAATCAGTGGTAGTGATGGTGTAAATAAGTGGTAGTCATGGTGTAAATCAGTGGTAGTGATGGTAGAAATCAGTGGTAGTGATGGTGTAAATTAGTGGTAGTGATGGTAGAAATCAGTGGTAGTGATGGTAGAAATCGATGGTAGTGATGGTGTAAATCGGTGGTAGTGATGGTAGAAATCAGTGGTAGTGATGGTGTAAATCAGTGATAGTGATGGTGTAAATAAGTGGTAGTGATGGTGTAAATCAGTGGTAGTGATGGTGTAAATCAGTGGTAGTGATGGTGTAAATCAGTGGTAGTGATGGTAGAAATCAGTGGTAGTGATGGTGTAAATCAGTGGTAGTGATGGTATAAATCAGTGGTAGTGATGGTGTAAATCAGTGGTAGTGATGGTGTAAATCAGTGGTAGTGGTGGTGTAAATCAGTGGTAGTGATGGTAGAAATCGGTGGTAGTGATGGTGTAAATCGGTGGTAGTGATGGTAGAAATCAGTGGTAGTGATGGTGTAAATCAGTGGTAGTGATGGTGTAAATAAGTGGTAGTCATGGTGTAAATCAGTGGTAGTGATGGTAGAAATCAGTGGTAGTGATGGTGTAAATTAGTGGTAGTGATGGTAGAAATCAGTGGTAGTGATGGTGTAAATCAGTGGTAGTGATTGTGGAAATCAGTGGTAGTGATGGTAGAAATCGATGGTAGTGATGGTGTAAATCGGTGGTAGTGATGGTAGAAATCAGTGGTAGTGATGGTGTAAATCAGTGGTAGTGATGGTGTAAATCAGTGGTAGTGATGGTGTAAATCAGTGGTAGTGGTGGTAGAAATCAGTGGTAGTGATGGTGTAAATCAGTGGTAGTGATGGTATAAATCAGTGGTAGTGATGGTGTAAATCAGTGGTAGTGATGGTGTAAATCCGTGGTAGTGATGGTGTAAATCAGTGGTAGTGATGGTAGAAATCAGTGGTAGTGATGGTGTAAATCAGTGGTAGTGATGGTGTAAATCAGTGGTAGTGATGGTGTAAATCAGTGGTAGTGATGGTGTAAATCAGTGGTAGTGATGGTAGAAATCGGTGGTAGTGATGGTCTAAATCAGTGGTAGTGATGGTGTAAATCAGTGGTAGTGATGGTGTAAATCAGTGGTAGTGATGGTGTAAAACAGTGGTAGTGATGGTGTAAATCAGTGGTAGTGATGGTGTAAATCAGTGGTAGTGATGGTGTAAATCAGTGGTAGTGATGGTGTAAATCAGTGGTAGTGATGGTGTAAATCATGGCTGTGGAGGTGCTCGTGGTGGTGTAGCGGTTAGCGCGCTGCGATACAAACCCAGCGACCCGAATTCAATTCCTGGGCCTCCCTTAGCTCGACTCAGGCTCAAATGAGTACCTGGTACGATGTGTAAATATCGCCACTTGGGAGACAAAGGCGGCCGGGCGTGATGCTGGCCACCCACACTCTTCCGTGTGCTGTTCCGGTTTTCATAAGTGCTGCTCGCTAACAGCACTTGCCTTTTCATGGCGAGCCACCCCAACACTCTGTTAAGGCTATACTCCGTGTTTGTAGGCGTTATTTTGATGTTAGGAGGGACACCAAAATCGCTCGAGAACTCATCTGCTCTGGTACCGCAGGGGTCACCGATCACCTCCGTGTGGGTTGTCAACTCCAATGCGAAGGAACCGGTCGACCGGGGCACTCGAGGCTCCGTGACGGCGCCCAGCCAACTCAGGGCGTGGCAGCGCGTGGCAGCGTTGTGCGGCGAAACTCAAAGAGCTTCAGGGCTAGAGAGGTGACAGGTGACGGAAAATAGATGCTGACAACGTCAGCTTGTGACTGTCGTCTCTTTTTTGCGTGGGTCTTCTCAGAGCGCTCTGGTTTCTTCCATTTGCAAAAGTAACAATAAGAATACATACTCTTTTGGTTCTTTCGGTAAAGTCACGTAGGTGAAACAAAATTGATCACGACGTCTCGATCACAACAACAAGCGACCGTTTTTGTTGTTGTTGCGATCGAAACGTCGTGATCTATAATTTCTTCTACCTACCACGTGACTTTATCGAAAGAACCAAAGAGTATGGATTCCTGCAGTCACGAAAGCTTCAAATCAACAATAAGAATTTGTATCAACAGCCCGAATCGAGGAGCAAGGGGTGGAGTATGCGAAGCAGTATTGGTTCGCACACTCTGTAACGAACTCAGCGACCTGAGTTTGATTCACAACCATCAATAACATCAGCTTGATTCCTAACCGTGGATAAAATCAGTGGCGAGTGATATCTGAGCCGGTGCTGTGCACCTTCATTACCATCACCAACCAGCAACTGAGCAGCACGCAGAAATCTAATCAAGCATCACCCATGCCCAATCTGTTGTGGAGAAGCCTTCATCCAGCAGTTGATTGACCAATAACTATAATATGTTAATTAACCTATCCTGATCCAGGACCCTGCTGAAAATAATTATTGAGAGTGAGGTTATGTTGGACAGAGGAAATGGCACTTGGTATAGAAGACAGAACCGTCCGTGGGTGCCATAACCTGTGGCTTGATTTATGGAGGAAGGACCACGTGCCTGAGATGGCCCTGACTGGAGAAGATGAACGCGGTCGTAGAAACTTTTGACAGCGGAAGTCCCACAAACTGGAATGCGCAACACAAATGGCAAAAAATAAATGGAAAATAACAAAACAATACTGAGCTTCTCAAGTAGTACACTCTTTGGTTCTTTGGGTAAAGTCATGTAGGTATAAAATAAATCCCGACGTTTCGGGCGCAAAACAAGCGTCCGTCATCAGGTGGGAAAGCATGGCCTGCTGCTGAGGCAGATTGTTTTTAAAGGTTTGAAATGGGTGTAGCCCAAGGGTCATAAAGAAGTGGGCGGGGCTAGTGATGTTAATGTGAGAAATTAGCATGTTAATGTAAGATAAGAGAGCGGCCTCCTAAACGAGAGCACTGAAGTGGACATGTTAATGTGAGAGATTAGCATGGTAATGTAAAATCGAAGAGTGGTGCAGTCCAAAGGGTGCAATCCAAAGGCATGAGAGTGCAATCCAAAGGACATGTGAGCATGAGCGATCTAAGAGAGTGGCATAGAGAGAGAGAGACACACAGAGTGTTGGATTGCACCCTTTGGATTGCACTCATGCCTTTGGATTGCACCACTCTTCGATTTTACATTAACATGCTAATCTCTCACATTAACATAGCCACTTCCGTGCCCTCGTCAAGGCGCTCTCCTATCTAACAGTTACATGCTAATTTCTCACATTAACATCACTAGCACCGGCCACTTCTTCATGACCCATGGGCTACACCCATTTCAAACCTTTTAAAACAGTCTGCCTCAGCAGCAGACCATGCTTTCCCACCTGATGATGGACGCTTGTGTTGCGCCCGAAACGTCGTGATTTATTTTATTTTATACCTACGTGACTTTACCGAAAGAACCAAAGAGTATGGATTCCTGCAGTCACGAAAGCTTCAAATCAAGATTCTCAAGTAGTGCAATTTTTTATCGAGGACTTTTCAAAATTTTTAATAAATAAAAACATGGCACACAAAGGTGCATTGGTAAAAATGATGTTAAATATTAACAGGGTGGTGGTCCCGTGGAAAGCTTAGTAATTGTTGTGCCATAAGCCGTGCAGGCTGCTGGATGAGTGGCACACATGGAATCGCCAGAAGCCCCAGTTGAGTATCATTTCAGCTGCGTCTGTCCAGGTTAGAGACCCAGAAAATAATTCCACCTCCGACACGCTACATCCATTATAAATATATCGGTATGGCTGTGGATACTACGAGTTGCGTACCGTCAAACAGCGGCCCGGGCAATATTCTGTGAGAAATTAAGCCGTGGCTACAAGCACCACTCACCACGCAGTGCCTGGCAGCTACCTCACAAAAAGCAGAACTCTTCAATATTTCTTAACTCAACAGGCAACAGGAAGCTTGCCAGTTATGACAAATCTTCTTCTAGTCTACCAGCATATGTCTCTCTTTAAAGGGGAACTACAGATTAGTTTTGCAGAATTGAAAGGCGATGTTTTGAGATGACGGTTTTACTTTATCCATGTTTTAAATTACATTTTCCAATCGTTTAGATAATTTATTAAATTGCAAGGATATAAAGTCGTGCCCCACAGGCAGTAAATCTCCTCCCAAAGGTCTTAATAATATGGCTTATCCCACTACACCGTCCAGCACATCATTATAATCCTCATTTAGCCAACGCAAAATGGGAAATAATTATCACCGTCAAAGTGGGTGGGGGAGCACGTGCCCAGTAGATTGTGTGGCTTTGCATAATAGCATGTGTCCATATCACGCGGTGTAGCAGCAGCAGCAGCAGCTGTAGCTGACAGCCAGATGGCTGTGAAGTACTGCTGCTGATGCTGCAACACCGCACCAGGGTGTCGCACAGCCTGCTGCGGTGGCGGCAGTGGTCATGGCACGGCACAGCGAGTGCTTGAGAACAAAACAGCCTCTGCTGATTCTGCCCACAGAGAAAAGCAAGCCTCTAAATATAAAATAAAAATTGACATTTGGAACCCCTAGAGATTGTTATGGCAACTTGTTTTTTTTTATTCAAGAATAGAGACAGACCCTCTCCACAGGAGTAATGTGTGAACAGTGTGGCACTTGAGTGAGTATAAAGGCTAAAATTTTAAACCATTCACACAGAAGTAGCAGGCTAAACAGGATGCTGTTGGAAATGTTTCCTGCCAATTTGCACAACGCCTGAAGATGTGATCGCAGACGGAGGTCCAATGCATATTTAAGAGAACACGTAAAAATACTAGAAGAGACTTGAGCACGCTACAGCACTGTGCTTCTGCGACCGAGGAAAACCCTGACCAAGCCATGAACCAGCACTGTGAAGCACACACAAACGTCAGAAAACCTAGCGAGGCGCGGCAACAACAGCAATCCGTTCAGCCTAAGCCCGAGCCACACACTTGTAGACCTGTAGGTTGCAATTTCACGAAGCCATCGATAAGATAAAGTACAAACGGCACTCTACACGTAATAAGATCGGCTCAGAAAAAAAAATTATCGTGCGGTGCAAATTCAACGTAAAAGGGCAAACAAGAATGACGACGCAACTTTAAAGGTGCCTTATAACTACAAATAACCTTCGTTATCTATACGCCTAGCCCCCACGTGACGTAATTCAGGGTAGGCCCAGTCTGGCACGGCGTGGTCCCACTAAGGCTGGTCGGGGTAGCGCGTGAGGTCCACTTGTACGGCGTGCGTCGGCTGACCGGTGGGGCCTCCCCGAAGGCCGGCCAGGTAGACGCTGGGCCGCGGCACGTTGGTGGTGCCCTCACGCTTGGTCTGTGTGCCGACCTCACGCGGGAGGTACACCTGCGTGGTACCGTCCCGCCGCAGGTGGCTCAGGTCCGTCTGCGCCGAGTGCGTGGCCTTGCGCCGCAGATTGGCCTGCCGGGGAGGTGGAGACACACATCACGGCTACACGAGGATCGGATTCTTAGATATGTTACGTCGCGTGGTGGGGCATGCCCGTGACCCGGCGATTTGGAGGTGCCGGGTCATGGATCCAACTCCTGGAAGCGCTGGGCTGTGAGGTGGCTAGATGACGGTAGCACGATGAGTGGATTTGGCAACCCTCTGTGTTATCACCTTTTACGTATCTTATCCGCGTAAACAAATAAAATCAACCAATCAAAAAAATTAATCAAACTCAACTAAACTATTAAAATATTTTTATTTTGACAGGTAAGGCCCACTGAGTTTTATAGCTCTTTTTCAGGAGTGACCTGGCCACAAATGGTAACTCAATGAAGTGGCTTATGTGGAAATTTAGAGCAGCCAAATACTCTAAACGCATGTTGATAATAAATGTGGAGGGAAAAACCGGAGGACCCGGAGAAAAATCCACACGATCACGGGGAGATAGACATGCAAACTCAAAATATACAGGGGTCAGGGTCGCGATTGAACCCACGATCTCCTGCATACAAACTAGAGAATTAACATCATGCCACCTCAATCTATGTAGTGCTTTGTCTCTGAGTATGCTCGCTTCCCCTCACATACCAAGCACTTCCTAATAAAAATTGGATAAACATTCCAATGTAGGGCTCTTCGGAAAGAGTAATAATTCCACCTCTGGCACACTCTCTGAGGCTTTACAAGTAGAATAAATGCAGTTATTGTATTGGAAACAATAAAATGTACACAAATAATACAAGCAGTGACAACACTATTTGAAGGTTATACTCGTGTAGTTTATTTCAGAAGTGTTATTTCAATAACTCTGCAACATTTCGGCAAGAAAACAATCTTCGGAAGCTGCATTTCTCCCGTGATGAATCACAAAGGCCTTTATCGCCAGTGCCCAAGCAAACCACGCACGGCCATGAGTCAATATTGATCGGCATCGCGCTGTGTACCAGTTTAATGGCCTTGCGCCGGAGCTCCCATTCGTTCCACTCGTACGACCTCACGATGCTGGACTCCAGGATGTGCGTGTCCGTCTGCGTTCCACTGTCGCACTTGGTGACGGGCGTCTCGGCGGGGCCGCCCTGCTCCCGTGTCTGCGTGACCACGACGCCAACACGGAGGGCCACATCACCGACGCAAGTCACACTTTCCCGAGCAAACTCGACGGGCACCGTTGCGGTTTCAAAACACGACACCCTCCACCCACTTGTAGTCCCGAGGGCAAAACGGCTGACGTGCACACCTACGTGCGTCTGGTTTTTTTTTTTCCATGTGCATATCGGAAAAATATATATTCTGCTCATTCTGCTTTCGTGCTGTTTTCTTTTTAACAGAACGTAAAAAAAAAGGTGTGAGCCAGGCCTTACGCCAGACGGAGTTTACCCGGGAGTAGGGCGTGATGACTGCAAACTGCTGGTGTAGTTCCAGCAGCTGAATGAGCTCTGCGGAGCGCCTGGCTGCCTCGGCCACCATGCCGACAAAGTGGTCCGGGTTGCTGGCGAAGGCACACGCGGCCTGCTTGGAGGAGAAGGTGTAGAGCTTCTCCCTGTGCCTCAGAACCCCAATGTTTGTGTTGCCTGCAAGGTCACAGCAAAAAAAGACAAAGTACTAACATTCCCGAATAGCCTTAACAGACTGTTGGGGCAAGAGCTGTTAGTGAGTAGCACTTATGAAGGTCGGCATGGCACACGAGGGGAATGGGTGGCCACGACCACGCCCGGCCGCCTTTATCTCCCTGGTGGCGATGTTACACTTTGCAGCAGGTACTCATGTGAGGCTGAGTCGAGCTAGAAGAAGCCCAGGACTGGTTCAGATAATCGTCACTGGTGTTGGCCATGAATGAGAATCACACTCAAGTTGCCAGGTCTGTAGAACAGCTCGCCACCGCTCCCCACAGAATGACACACACGTGCACGAGCACAGAGAAGGGTCCGGGATATCAGTGTTGCATGTGTGTCTGCTCAGGCATGCTTACTGACTAAATAAACACACCGTCGACTGGACCTGTCAGTGTTAATATCAAAGACAAAATGTACTTAAATGTGTACGACAGGCACAAACAAACAGCAAGTCCCTTGAGCCAGCATCAACAAAGGGAGAGGACCTGGCAGGAGCAGTGTGTCTCTGGCGGCCAGCGTGTACGCGCAGAAGCCCCGATACTGGATGGGGAGGCGGTCCAGGTTTCGTGTGGTCTTGGGGAACAACCACTCCTGGCTCTTGAAATCGGTTGGGTTTACCTGGTCACCTGTTAATCAAATAAGTTCATACAATGTGTAAGCATATACTCTATATAAGGTATCGTTTTTTAGTTATTTCCTTCCACCAAAACAATACAGAATGTAACCTATCATCGTATGCAGGCCACTGCTATTGTTTTACAAATGCACATCAATACCCTCTAGTGCAGAAAGAAAGAATCAAACATTAATTTGAATTTTATTTCCAAGCTCCTCTGGCCAGCAGAGTAAACGATTTCCACTTAGTTTGCAGAAGAGAAGAAAGTCACCTCAGCCACTTTAGGCCACCACACACTAAACCTGACGCAGCATAATTGATCGTTTGGCGGTTCAGTAGGTGGGACCACAAAAACACACGTCCCCAGCTGGGGAACAGCAGCCGGCACAATTACACTTCCCGGAAGGGCAGTTCAAACAAACGCACGTGCGATTCCGCCAAATTCAAACAACAGACTCGGCCAAGTTGAATGACTCACCCGCGGCCTCCTGCAGCCTCTGAGCATCGGTCTTCTCAGCAATGCTGCCCACGAGCGGCACCAGCAGCGTCTCCGGGCACAGGCGGCCGTGGGGCTCCAGGAAGGGCGCCAGGTTGGTCATGACGTTGCTGAGAACGCTGAGCAGCACCATCTGGTCCTGGAAGCTGCACCAGACCCGCGCCACCGCCATGAAATGAGGCTGCACATTCCACACGATGCAGGGTGTGGGGGGGGGGGGAGAGGTGGCGGCGGAGAGGCGGGAATGAGGGCGATCTGCAACACGCAGCATGGACAGCAGGGTTGATGTAGTCAAAATGATAATTGGCTGTGTATAAAATATTTGTCAAATTCAGATTGGCTCACGTGATCATATTTCGGAGGGTGGATATTTTGCATGCCCCCTCACACCAACATCTAATGACTAAGAGTGGACGATTTCGTTTTTGCTTTGCCTTTGTCATCGTCTCGTCGATGACAACCTGTGGAATTTGAGTGGAGGCTTAGTCTGTGGAGTCATTCTTTAGTCTAGTCGAATAAAGCAGTGAAACATTTAGTCAAACACTCTTAGTTGTTACATGGGGCACCGCAGTGGCGAGATGTTAACTACCTCGCCTAGTATACAGGTCGTGGGTTTGATCCCGACCCTGACGCCTGTATATGGGTTTGCGTGTTCTCCTCGTGGTCATGTGGATTTTTCTCTGGGTCCTCCGGTTTTTGCCTCCACATTTTTAAATATGCATTTAGAGTATTTGGCAACTGTAAATTTCCACGAGACACACAGACAGACACACAAGCAGATAGAGAGAACACAGAGACACACAGAGAGAGACACACAACATAGACACAGAGACCCAATGCCTCTGTGTCGTGGCCTTAAATAGAGAGAGAGAGAGGGGGGGTGGGACAGAGAGAGAGGTGGGCCTGCTGGAGCAGAGAAATTAGCATGTCAATGAGAGAGCTGTGTGGAAATCCACCCCGTGGTGGCAGGGGGAGAGAAAGAGCAAATGGACCTATGAGAGCCTGGTAAATTTTAGAGCGAGAAATAGGCAAAAAAAATGTACCAGACTTGCTGGGACTTTCTCTCCCCCTGCCGCCGCGGGGTGGATTTCCACACAGCTCTCTCATTGACATGCTAATTTCTCTGCTCCAGCAGACCCACCTCTCTCTCTGCCCCACCCACCCCCCTCTATTTAAGGCCACGACACAGAGGCATTGGCTCTCTGAGTGTCTATGTTGTGTGTACCTCTCTGTGTGTCTCTCTCTGCTTGTGTGTCTGTCTGTGTGTCTCCGTGTCTGTGTTTTGTCTCTCTCTCAAATTTAGTTCTACCTGATGACGACTGCTTGTGTTGCAATCGAAACGTCGTATTCTATTATTTCACTAACCGCAAGCATCTCGGTTTGAGTGATACGCGAATCGCGAGTCGCGCAATCAAAATTGTCGCTGCTGCGTGTACCATCCGTCAAGTCTCGCAAACTCTTGCGAGATTCGAGGCACCTCTGGGTCTGTAGCTACCCAATCCTCTTTCATCTCCACCTTGCTACCTCCGTGAACAGTCAGATCCATGCTCCGTCTCACGAAATATTTGGAAATTTTATGTTTGTGATTTGCGTATTACTGTTTTGTGCTTAAATATCACGTATAATTTTTTAAATAAATATAGATTTTTTTTTTTTTTGTTCATTATGGCCCCAAAGCTTATGAGCAAGTGTTGGTGATGGAAGTGCCTCATCATCATCACCAAAGGTAAATGCAATTTAATTTACTGTACTTTTCTTAATTAAACATGTCTTAAATGTCACTGAAATTCTCTTTATTTAGTGTGCTGTGTTCATTAGTTAATTTTAGTGAACGTAACTAATATTTATATGGAATTTCATAGGTCCACTCGTGACCTTGGTCCCACTAACCCTATTTTTTCCGTAAGTTTAACAACCGTCAATTTCTCTTTGGTTTTTTCGCTAAAGTCACGTAGAAATAATAAAAAAATATATAATAGCATACGACGTTTCGATTGCAACACAAGCAATCATCATCAGGTACAGAAGAGCTAAATTTAACAGAGAGAGAGGAAACACATAACCGCAGATATATATATACAGACCTTAAGTAGAGGGAATTAACACAGACACACAAGGGGACACAGAGAGAGACGGAGCACACTAAATCAAACAGGGTTTAGCAAAATTTGGAAACTATATAAAGCAACACAGACGGTCGGTTAAAACACAATTAACGCATGGTCTGGTAGATTACGCTATTTCAAAGATTGCTAAATTGTAAGTTAAGTGTGAAATTTAAGAGAGTGAATTTACCAGCTGCGGGGGTTTTCAGGAACCTAACCCTTGCGGTTAGCAAGGGATTACTGTATACATATACCTCCTAAGTGAATCGCAGTCTCTCATAACATGAGTCATTCTTTGGTCTTCGTTCAAACTCTTTAATTTCATCTCATTATAGTTGCACTTTGGCCTATGGTGAGTAGTTGCAGGCATCGTCACGCTGGGTGACTTTTGTCCACTTGTAACCATGGTTCAGTAAAATAAAATAAAAGACTCCATTGATGAAAACTTTCATGACCAATTTCTTTCGCAAAACACAGCACCGAAGGCGTGCTGGACGTACGTAGACTTGCGTTGTGGGCACGGCCTGCTTGGCCTGGATGATTTCCTGAAGCGCATCCATGTGAGATGCCAGCTGGCTCTGCAGCGACTCCACCTCTCCAGCCGATGTGATCATGTCTCCCTGTCGGCAAAAACCCAGGGCAATGATGCAATTGAGAGAAGGTGCAAAGGCGGTGTTTCTCAGACCACCCCAGTCCTCGCGGCCGCACACGATGCAACTTTACGTGGTCGCTAATATTTTCCGTTCACGTGTTAAAGGGGGCCGCTACACGTTGCACACTTACGATGGCTGGTAAACAGAATGGTGCACCGTGGGGTTTGTGAGGGCTGGAGATCGATAAAAGCTAAAATGAAAGAAGCAATACGGTTCATACAGCTGCGAAATTAATTATTTATCATATATTCGTAAGCAACATTTCACACCGAAATCAATCCAACATTTAAATAACGTGATTAAAAGGTTATCATTATAAAATATGAAACACATGTTTGGCTGTTAATATTTTAACAAACAAAAGTTGATTATAGAACATCTATGAAGGCCAGAACGGCACATGAGGGGGTGGTTCGCCAGCACCTCGCCCGGACGCCTTTGTCTTCCTCGTGGCAATGTTTTTACAAATCGCACTAGGTACTCAATTGAGGCTGAGTCGACCTAGGGGAGGCACAGAACCGGTTCAGATAATCGTCACTGGTGTTGGCCGTAAGCGGGAATCGAACTCGAGTCTCCGGGTTCATAGCGCAGCACGCTAACCGCTACACTGCCGCTCCCCACCACACTGCACAGCGTCACAAACACAGGCTCACGATACCCTCCCCCCACTTCCTACCAACAATATCTTGAGGAAGCACTCGTGCTGCCGACAGTTGAACATCAGCTCTCTGAGGGTGTCGGGGAAGATGCCAGCCCGGACCAGCTGGTCGGCCAGATCGGAGCACTGCTCCAGGATCGCGGTGTAGCGGTGCGCCAGCTGCCGTGTGCTTCCCAGCTCTGCGTCGAGGTGCTTGGTAGCGGCCGGGATGGCCTCGTTGAGGATGGCCGGCACTAGTTGTGACGAGGCAACACCGCACAAATGCACAGTTCACTCTGTGTTTTATTTGACCCACTCAAAGGCACGTGTGCAACACATTTAAGGAATCTCTGTTCCAAATTAACGCGAACCACGTGAGACTATCAACAACATGATTACGTTGTCTTCGGAAGTGAGAGAAACAGGGTTTGGAACTCACAGTCATCGATGCCCTCCCCTCCCTTGCCACATTTCTTGTTGAATAGGCGGATGCCCGTGGTGATGAGGGAGAGCTCCGTCAGCTGCTGTTCCTTTTCTTTTTTTGTCATGGCCAGGAAGGTGCCCAGGTCCGTCTGTGGAAAAACGCTCTGCAGCGCCGCTGCACAGCACACAACGGCACCCGTCATTATTGAAATACGGCTGCTCTTTGCTTATTCAAGCTCTTGTCTGTTTCTGTGCTAAGGCTCTAAAATGTTGCTCACAGCAGGGTAAGATAAATAGCGGGTCGTTGACATCTGGCCTCAGACATTCCAAATGTCACACGTGAAAAAGTCAACTTTGGCCTTTGCAGTATGAAAAAGGGCAAGATCCCTGACTGGACCATCATCAAAGAAGTGGGACCAATTCTTGGAAGAAATTAAATACTTCAGTCACGAATGAATGATGTCACGAATGAATGATGCCACAATCATTCTTCTATTCAAAAAGAGTAAGAATAATTACTTTAAGGAGTAGCCCTTGCATAAGACGAATTGTCATGTGTCGCAATGGGTGTGTGCCATCTCCTGGTCACATAAAGGATAACACGTGACTAATTTGCAACGGATCACAAATATAATATTAAAACATAAACAGAAGCATGGAAATTATAGAGGCCAAGGCACCATCAACCACATACATACAATGTATCAGATTCTGGACACCACTAATGAATGTCAAACACGATTTTGCTTGGTCAAAGAAGGGAACACGTCTGAGACAGCATCTATCGTGGAGATGGAACAAGTAAATCAGCTTGTGTATGGGAACTAGATGGATGTTATACATCGTGAGACCATGACGGACGGAAATAGCTTGGGGAGGCCATCATCCTGCAGTGGATAGATCATGGCTGCTGATGATAATGATGACAATGACAACCTCCAGCAATTTTGGATGTAGGTGAATTTAACGGTCACGGTTTCAATGGTGCAATTTGAAAACAAAGTGGTGAGTGAGAATCCAGCAACAGCGCCCCCTTCCAACGCACAGAAACCAGAGCGTAGTGAAGTGCATCCCTTACCGGTGGCCTCACGGACGACGGCGATGTGCGTAGGAGATCCGAGGCCCGAGGAGAGCAGTACGTAGCTCACCACCTTGCGGTAGAGGGCCTCCAACTCCTCGCGCGAGCGTGCCCGGCTGTCCGTGATCTCACGCTGGATGGGTGCCAGCCTGGTCTCCAGGACGCGCCGGTGCTCCTCGAGGAACTCAGCTGCACACAAGAGACCAACAGTGCCCCGATTTACCTACGCTCGTTAGACTTAAAAATAACAATCCCCACAGCACCGATTCACCACTCTCTGGTCTTCTTTAATTCTCTCCCCAATGGCAACAGGTCCCTGGCTCAAACTCCCTCCATCACTGCCGCCCCCCCACCCACCCCCTTCCTTTAGGATGGCAAGCAGCATATTTCGTATCCTGCCTCTTGTCCTCCTTCCCCATATCCTGACTCCCAAAGCCTCCTCCATCCAGTTGTCACCTCTGAGAATGTGGCCAACCCACATACTTGGCATCAACGCTCATTATGGCAATCACTGGAACTAGCTTTTGCTAGGGTTTCAGTTAGTATACAAAAGCGCAAAAAAAATGTTTGGTGAGGAATCGCAGACACGTAAATCATGTGATGTGGATGTTATTTTTTGGATGGTCAATATGTAATGGTATATTTTAAAAAGCAGAATTATGACAGCGAATTATTTTCCTGTGGTGTAACTCACCTCGGGTTGTGTAGTTCATGTCAAAATAAACCTGCATTTTAATGGTTTCCAGCGAAGGGCGGCTATTGTCCAGCAATCGGTCCTCGCACAGCTACATATTTATGTTGGCAAAAGATAAACAGGGCACAGGAATAGCATAAACAAAGATTTTACCGACGGGGGTGTCTGACTCATCTTTCATCATTCTCACCACGTTAGGCCATACAATGTACATGTTCGTCTCATCTATATTTAGCATTATTTACACAGCTAACAAGCTGACCATTATCCTTGACTGCAATAATTGGTCATTTCTTTTCCTTTAAAAAAAATATTTGAAAATGTATATCCAAAGTACACAGGCAACAGTGAGACCTGTCCACGCATGCCCATAAATGCAATCACACTTAACAATGACTTAAGAACTATACAATGTGTCCTCATCCAATGTCTGCCAACTCCCCGCAGGGCCGTTCAACATTGGCCTCGGTTAAAACCATGTCACCTTCACGCCACTAATTATGCTTGGCTGGTGCTTCTCAAAGCCCCTTGGCATTGTCACTGCTTATAATAATGGAATTACACCTCCGCCCGTGACACTGGGCGGCCGAACACGATCTACTCTCCACACCTCCTCACGTTCAAGTCATGTGTCTCACGGTGGAGCCAGACCCTGCTCTACCTTGATGAGTTTCTGCACGTCCTCCTTGGTCAACGTGCGGTCCACGTTGAAGCCATTGCGGGGGTCAAGAACCACGGCCTTCACCTGCAGACAGCGCAACCAATCAGCTCCGTTGCGCAACGTCTCCTCACAACCTGCTTTCACGACTAAGGCGATAAAGCAGTGGAGTAGCGTAATTGGCGTGGGCTCTGGCGCATGGAATGCATTGGGGCGCCCTCTGTCCAATTTTTTCCGCCTCTTTCTAGCCCGGAGCCTGCGTCCCTGTGATACTGTGAGCCACTGTACAGTTGTACTGCCTGCACACTCGACATCTACGCCACTGCAAGAGGTCCCCTTTATTAGCGACCAAGCAAGATGTTAGCGGTCAGTTTCTGCAGCATCTATCAGAAGGGCACGACAGCGAGGTGTAATGGTGCCAGTGGCATGGGCCGTGATGACCTTTTGACCTTGGCCTAATGTAAATGTCAACAATGCTATTGCCGTGTATACGGAATAATGCACACGTCCCATGTGCAAGATGAAAACAATTGATCAGATGACGAGTTCTGCACGGCATACAGTATCTCCATTAAACCACGGCATGGCGCTGTGGTAACGCCAAAGCTCTGTTAGTGTACCACGTTTCCATTTTGAGTCGACGCTTTTATAATTATCGGTTGTTTATACTGTTCGTGGTGAAAAGTCCACGTATCCGTGACTGGGCGAAGACTTTCCACAGAACAAGTGACACTGAATATCTACTTCTCTGCACCAATTGGCGCGGCCTCCACCAGGGGCGTGATCGTTTGACCCACCCGACTGTCACGATTTGCGTGTACGCACTGTGCACTGTGAACCGTGCACGTGACAGTTGTACACACTAACACGTGTACACCCACAATGACTCGTGTAAGTGCTACACACACAGAGAGTCGTGCCCACACGTGCACACGATGATGCGTGTACACAATGACACGCCTTCGCACACACGCGTGTATACACACACAGGGAGTCGTGTCCACGCGTGTACACAATGACGCGTATACACAATGACACGTGTACACAATGACACGTGTACACAATGACACGCGTGTACAGACACAGGGAGTCGTGTCCACACGTGTACATACACAGTGAGTCGTGTCCACACGTGTCCACAATGACACGTGTACACAATGACACGCCTGCACACACGCGTGTACACACACAGTGAGTCGTGTACACACACAGAGAGTCGTGTACACACACAGAGAGTCGTGTACACAATGACACGTGTACACACACAGAGAGTCGTGTACACACACAGAGTCGTGTACACACGTGTACACAATGACACGTGTACACAATGACACGTGTACACACACAGAGTCGTGTACACAATGACACGTGTACACACGTGTACACAATGACACGTGTACACACACAGAGAGTCGTGTACACAATGCCACGTGTACACACGTGTACACAATGACACGTGTACACAATGACACGTGTACACACACAGAGAGTCGTGTACACAATGACACGTGTACACACACAGAGTCGTGTACACACGTGTACACAATGACACGTGTACACAATGACACGTGTACACACACAGAGAGTCGTGTACACACACAATGACACGTGTACACACACAGAGAGTCGTGTACACAATGACACGTGTACACACACAGAGAGTCGTGTACACAATGACACGTGTACACACAGAGAGTCGTGTACACACGTGTACACAATGACACGTGTACACAATGACACGTGTACACACACAGAGAGTCGTGTACACAATGACACGTGTACACAATGACACGTGTACACACACAGGGAGTCGTGTACACACGTGTACACAATGACACGTGTACACAATGACACGTGTGTACACACACAGAGAGTCGTGTACACACGTGTACACAATGACACGTGTACACAATGACACGTGTACACAATGACACAAGTGTGTACACACACACAGGGAGTCGTGTACGCGCCCCGCACCATAAACGCCACCAGGGTCTCCGACGCCAAGCATCCCCGCGCCGCGCTCGCTTGGCCGATTTCGCGGATGATGTTCTTAATGACGCCCTCCGCCTGCGCTCGCGACATCCTCACTGCGTGACTGTGATCGGTAGTTGTAGTCTAAAGGGTTTGCGTATCGTTGTAGTTGCTGTAGTTGGTATTATTCTGCTCCTTCAGTGTGGGGCACCGTGAGTTAACTCTCCTGAGCGACTCTCGGGCTTCTACCTCGCGCAGGCCTCAGGGACGCGTCTCCACGGCAACCCTCGGGCCCCGCCACGCCGCCACGCCATTGGTCCTATCTGGGCACGTGACCCGCGCAACCGCCAATGATGCGGCGATCCGCTCGTTTTAAAAAAAAAATATGAAACGATTTAAATGTTTCATATTCTTGGTTCTTTCGGTAAAGTCACGTTGAAGGGAAACAATAAAATAATAAAAAATATATAAAACAATACAATTCTCACGACGTTTCGACTGCAACACCTGATGGTGACTGTTTGTGTTGCAGTCGAAACGTCGTGAGAATTTTATTGTTTTATATATATATTTTATTATTTTATTGTTTCCCTTCAACGTGACTTTACCGAAAGAACCAAAAATATGAATCACTGCAGTTACGAAAGCTTTAAAGCAAGATTCAAATGTTAATTAATAAATTGTTCAGGATACATTATTTATTAATCTTCATGATCAGGCCCAACTCTTATCCGCGACATCTCTCTGGAATCTGTATAGATCATTAGCCTTAATACAACAACAAACACACGTACATTCTTAGAGTAGTGGTTGTTATAACCTGGGGTTCATCTCGCGCCCCCTGGGGGTTCGTCACGCTCCCCGTGGGGGTTCATCGCGCACCCCCAGGGGGTTCATCTCGCACCCCGTGGGGGTTCATCTCGCACCCCCAGGGGGTTCATCACGCACCCCCTGGGGGTTCGTCACGCACCCCCTGGGGGTTCGTCGCGCACCCCCAGGGGGTTCATCACGCACCCCCAGGGGGTTCATCACGCACCCCCAGGGGGTTCATCGCGCACCCCCAGGGGGTTCATTACGCACCCCCAGGGGGTTCATCGCGCACCCCCAGGGGGTTCATCACGCACCTCCTGGGGGTTCATCACGCCCTCCCTGGGGGTTCATCACGCACCCCATGGGGGTTCGTCACGCACCCCCAGGGGGTTCATCACGCACCCCCAGGGGGTTCATCACGCACCCCCAGGGGGTTCGTCACGTACAACTGCACTCACGGGGCGCGATGAACCCCCACGGGGTGCGTGAGGAACCCCTGGGGGTGCGCGATGAACCCCCACGGGGTGCGTGATGAACCCCCTGGGGGTGGCGACGAACCCCCTGGGGGTGCGCGATGAACCCCCACGGGGTGCGCAATGAACCCCTGGGGGTGCGCGGGGGTTCATCACGCACTAACCAGGGGGCTCATCGCGCACCCCGTGGGGTACTTGATGAAGGCAAAATCATCGAAACACAAATTCAACACGGGCACGCAAGTACAACCACTTTGTTTCATCAAACCTACGTATTTATTAACATAATACATTTGTATTTTTACGATTGGAAGCCAAAGGGGTGCAAGTTCGCATTAACGTTTGAGAACCACTGCCTTTGAGAGAGTGATTCGCGTTTGCCCCGTGAGTGCAGTTGTGCAAAACCCGGAGAGTTTTACGTCGGGACCGTACGTGTAACGAATCAAATAAGAACACACTCGCGCAAATAAATGCGCGCAAAATCACACGACCACGTAACGTAAATAAAACATTAACAGCGAGACGACAAACGTGGACTCACCACAGTCCTGTCGTTGCTGTGGACTTCGGTTCAACACTCCCCCCACACCAGCTGGTCGGCTGCCAGGAGAACCCGTCCTGTTGAAACATTGCGAGATGCCCTTTCGGAGAATCAAAGGGGTGCAAGGCTGCAGGAAAGTTTAAGAACCGCTGGTTTAGATTTTTTAGAATATTTTGCTGCTACGTATAAATGTCCACGTGATCAGCCACTACTTTGTTGAGATTTAATTTGTGGCCAGGTCGCTTTTGAAAAATGGGTTGATACCTGAGTGGGCTTTGTCTGGTAGGATGGGGATGGTTTAGTTGGATTTGTTTGTGTTTGGGTGATTTGTTTACTTTTTCTGTACTTTGTACTCCGGTCATGTGTTTGTATTGTTTGTTGATGTAACATCTTGTGCCATTTGTGAAAACGAGCTTCATAGCTCATCGGATTCCTCCAGGATAAATACACATTCCGAAAAAAAAATTCTGAAGTCACCTTGTGCGACGTGGATCCCGTAACGTCATCGCCCCCACGCACTTCAGCCCGGTTGTGGCAAGTTGTCCACTTAGGCTGTTAATGTTTTATTTACGTTCCGTGGTGGTCGTGTGATTTTGCGCGCATTTATTTGCGCGAGTGTGTTCTTATTTGATTCGTTACACGTACGGTCCCGTTTAGTCAGTTGCCCGGCTATTTTACAAGGAGGATCCGTGAGCACAGCAGCGACAAAAGCAAAGTGAGAGTGCCCGTGTGTAATTTGTTCGAGTGTCACAGATGATAGGCACTTTCATGTGTCCTGAGATGATTGGCGATGGTGATGAACAGAGCGGTCACATCGCTCAACAAGTGCGTCCCAATGCCCCCCCTCCCCCTCGCCTTTGGATGATAACGACGATCATGCATGTCTAGATGGTGAAGATGATGACGGTGATAATGATGCATCGTCTGGATAAGGGAGCATCGTGGAGCTGGGGGTGCCTGGAGGAATTGGGAGAGCTCAGAGATTGAGCTATCTTTAAAGAGACACTCGCGATATGAACGGGCTGCCACCTGGTTAATTATAGATTATAGATGTTCTGGATGATTATATCCATGCAGCAATATTATAGTGCGCTCGCCAAATACACTGCTAATGGCATTTGATATGGTCGGTGCTCTGTGTTTCTTGAGCGGAGGGGGGGCTGGTGTTTTAGAGGCATGGTGTTTTATCCTAGCGGTCCCATTATGTTTATGTGAGACGTGGTGGTCTACGTGCTTGGCCCGTGTCTCATCACTCTCCCTAGGCCCTCTCCCCCCCCCCATTTGCATATGGCTCCATGCAGTGTTGAGACGGCTCAGTGGACTATGATGATGAATTATTCATCAAATATTAATGAGACCAGACGCAATCTCGCCCCTGCCGCTCCATATGGGATGACCGCATCATCATGAAAGAACCGGGAAAGGCTGGTTCGTTCTCGTGTGGGAGACTGCCTGTAAATACTCGGTGTTGTCGGCTTGGCCTTATGAGGTGACCATGAGAAGGCCGTAGAGCAATCTGTCTATGCAGAACCTTGAGTCTTTTCCCTGTCTCTTGAGACTCGGTGAGGCTTTGCTGGGTAAATAGTTGACAGCGGTTCTCAACTGCCGAATAACTCGGTTATGCGCCTATCAATCTATAGTCCACATAAAATCCAATTGGCGGATAATCGGATCTTCTTTGTATTGTTACCACATTAGATTAAGCTTATGACAGTTTTCTATCCCGCTTAATGTGATTTATTTTGACTGACCACAGCTTATAATTGCCAAATCGACGGGACTCTAACTCTCTCACAACCCACCATCTAGCGTATTCCTGAGTTGGCCAGTGTGTGAACAATTCAGTTTACAAAAAACAACGGCAACAACCATTGTTTAGAGCCATTTGTCAGTCGCCTGCTGGATGAAGACCTCCTCCCTGCACCGTGTCAGCATTCATGGCCGTTGTTGACCATACTTCACCACGCTGATCAGTGCGGGTTGGTGAAGGGACACGTGGGGAAGATGTGTCGTGTAGGCAGGTCTTAATAACGACGTAAATATTACAATCAATGATTCTCGCAGTCTCTTTATCTAGATCTCACCAGCAGGTTACAGACGCAGAATCTAGTTACATTACATATGCTGTACAGCACCAATAAAAAAGCAACTCCAGAACCAAAGACTTCTAATCTAAATGATGTAATAACGTCACAATATAAACGAGTATTTCAGAATAACATTCAGCACTCCGCTTGTTATAAAGCGCACGATATACAATAGAGAAAGGAAACACAGAGCCCGCTCACCCTACGTGAGTGCAACGACATCTACCAGCCCGGCAATTTCTTCTGCTCCGTCCCGCTCTGTGCAATTTCACATTCATAGCGCAAGCAAGTGATGTCCGAGTGGTTCAACGTTCACTTCCTCTCTCTCTCTCTTTCTGTGGGGGTTGCATGATGAGGATCACAACCACCCAATGAGGCTGCAGTTGTTCCGCATGGGAACCCGCCTGTGCTGATGGACGGCAGCCGTCACGCGTCTTCTCCAACTCGCAGTTTGCCTCTCAAGTATTGCTCTCCGGTATCAAGCACGGAAGACGCCTTGGTCACACTCGCCTAAACATCATTGAGCCCTTCACAGTGACCCTACGGGGTCTCCTTACACTGGACTTGCAGGTCCCGAATGAAATGAACCTCCTATGAATCGTACAGAGCTGCATGGACGTTAATAATGCACGTTCCTGAGTAAGCACGCAAACAGCGATGCTACAATTCAGCACGACTCAATGGACATCTCTCGAAATTAAACAAAAAACAATGTCACCAGGTAAGCCCCACTGACCTATATAGCTCTTTTTTTGCAGAAGCGACCTGACCGCACATTATAGCTCAACGAAGTGGATTATCAAGTGCAAATGTATCGCAGCCAAATACTCTAAACGCATTTTGATTCTAAATGTGGAGGGGAAACATGGAGGACCCGGAGATAAATCCACACGAACACGGGGAGAGAGACACCGCAAACTCCGAGAATACAGCTCGGCGTCAGGGTCAGGATCGAAACCACGACCTCCCGCATACCAGGCGAGGTAGCTAACATCTCGCCACCGCGGCGCCCCAGCTCTTAAGAGCCCGGAAGTGTGCACGATTCGCAGCTCAGTAAGGCCCAAGCGTGGTTCATGATTCGCACACGCCTAATGTAGGGAGCGTCCAGCTCGCAGCGTGCGTAGCAGCGCACCGTTAAACAGAGTTGTACAGCGAGTTGTATAAACTTGTCGTGCATAGAGAAAAGTGTTGTTATGAGCAGTCCTGCTCGGGAGCTATGCATTATGCAGTAGCTCGGCAAAGCCGTATTTTATGACCAGCATTTCTGATGTAAAGTCTTATTTGACGGTGTACGTACACGGACCTTGCCTGATGCAAACGCTAAATTACGTGCTCTAAGTTGTAGCTTAAATAGGCTTTCTCGACCTCAACCGCCAAGACTCTTGAATAAGTCATGTGTCCTTAAATCTACCCCTGGTCCCAAAAACAAGCCATCGTGGTCGTTTTAAGCTAAACTATTAAATGAATAAAAAAAATATGTTACCAGGTAAGACCCACTGAGCTGTATAGCTCTTTTTCAGGAGGGATCTGGCCACAAATGATAGCGCAACAAAGTGGCTTATTAGGTGGAAATGTATAGCAGCCAAACACTCTAAACGTGTGATGTTGATTCTAAATGTGGAGGGGAAAACCGGACGCCCCGGAGAAAAAGCCACGCGACCACGGGGAGAGAGACACCGCAAACTCCAAATATACAGCAGTTGTCAGAGTCGGGATCGAACCCACGCCCTCCTGCATACCAGGCGACGTAGTTAACATCTCACCACCGTGGTGCTGCTCTGATCATTTAGAGTAGTGAATAGCAGATGCCACCAGACCCAAATGTCAGTCCCTATTCCACCACCCTTATCGTGAGGAATTGGGGTTGTTATCTCCCCCCTCTTCAGCATCTTCCTACGGCTCTTTGACGATTCGCATGCATGGCTGAAAAGTAACATCGCCACCAAGTGTCGTCTCTACATTCTCCAGAACGTGGATTATTAATCATCTTGTGACTTCATGTAGCTCTTTGAGACTGTAATACGTGACTAAGAAGCAAGTCGCCACCAAGTCTATGGCGGCTTCCTTCTGTTGTGAATACACACGAGGTTATACAAAAGTGACGATTCTAAAAGTTAATCTAAACATATATGCATATACAGTACTTACAATGTTCTGATGAGCAACCATTGAATTCGTACATTTCGGGAAAAGCCACAGACAAAGGATAGGTGTCCAGGGCCGCTGCCGATATCACTCGCCACTGATGTTACCCACGCCCAGGAATGGAACTCAGTTCAGTTTTATTTCAGTTTAATTTATGAGGAGGTATAACCCTGTGAGCCATGCGGCTCTTGACTAGGGTGCGACCGCAACAAAACAAAAACATGAACAAGAATAAACATCTTAAAGTGAAATCTTGATTTGAAGCTTTCGTGACTACAGGAATCCATACTCTTTGGTTCTTTCGGTAAAGTCACGGAAGTAGAAAACAAAACAAAAACTCAAGTTGCCGGGTTTAAATTAGTTTGGTTATTAAAATAGTTTTATCTATATATATAAAAGGGAAATTTGTGATTATGTGTGTCTGTTCGAAATGTTTCACATACTACCCGACATGCAACAAACTTGAAATTTGCCATGTGGGTACTTTCCAGACTGTACACCATGCAAAAATTATAAAACTATACTTTTGTATTTTGGGGGGGGGGGGGGGGGGGAGATGACCACGAAGTGTGTGGCGTCAACCCGCAAAGAGGACTGGCGAGAATCGATATCTGATGAGCGTTTGTGGTATCGCTTAAACGGGAATAGGCCGATTCTAAAGAAATCTACAACCTTCGATTCCTTTGCGCGATTTAAAGAATCGAATCTTATGGTTTTAAGTTTTGAGAAGTCAAATATATTTTTCCCCCGGCAACGCCGGGTACTTCCCGCTAGTTTTGCATAACCGGTTCCTGATAAAAAAAATATATATGTTTGCCAGGAGTACCACAGAAATATGTCAAGCAACACAAGTATACATTGTTATTTTGTTTACTGAGAAGCAAAGGGAATTTTCGGTGGTCTATAACGGTTAGCCAGCAACTTAGACCTCTGGACTTGCAATCCAAAGGTCGCCGGTTCGCGTCGAGTAACTGGGCACGTCGCAGTCGGTGGACAGGTCACGGGCGGCGTTGTGATGGGTGGGCGCACACCTCTAGCGAGACATTTGCTCAGGGCCCAAGAGGAAACCAAACACTGTACCCCTTGAAGCAGCGGCTCTCAACCGGGGGTATGCGGACCCCTGGGGGTACGTGGACCCCTGGGGGTACGCGGACCCCTGGGGGTACGTGGACCCCTGGGGGTACGTGGACCCCTGGGGGTACGTGGACCCCTGGGGGTACGTGGCAATGTCCCAGGAGGTACGTGAGATGATTTATAAATGCGTGAAATATCATACACGAGTCATTGATGATATTTCATGCATGGATCTGCCACTGTAAAATAACTACTATAAAATTGTAGTCCACATGGTAACCTAGAGCTAAATAAAGGACCTTTCATAAACTCCGTTAATTAATTGTTTTATTCGCTTGCAGTTAGTGGCCAGCTAGGATACCTCACTAAATATTGACGTTCATTATTCATACGCTTGATTCTCAGAAACATATTGGGTCCGGCCAATGGGGGTACTCGGTTGAAACAAAACTCAACAAAGGGTATAGAGTAGAAGCTGACACAAGGTCGAGAACCACTGCCCCAGAGCTCCCTCTGAGGGTGTCCAAAGTGAATAATTGCAAGGGTTGCACCTTTAACATGTGAACGTGGAACTGAGAGCAAATTCACCACGGGGGGGGTGGGGGGGGATTTAAGTCGCCGTGTCAATGTTTTGTTTAATTTACGTTCCCGGGTGCTTATAATTACGGTGCAAGCTTGACTAGAATTCCACTGAAAATGATTGCCGGTTTCGAACTTTCAGAACCGGTAACCGATTACGACAAAAGTTACCGGTTATCGTTGAGCAACCCCGTTTGATAGGGCAGTGGGCGAAACTCCGCGCCACTCTCTCCCCGCTATGCCAGAGCCAGAGTTCGGCTGTCGACGCAGCGAAAACTTGTTTTACCACCCCTCCTCCCCTTTCATCTACGAGATAAGCTACCTTATCTCTCTCAGCCACAGTCCACGCGTGGGCTTGTTTTACCAGCACATCACACGCAACGCATCACCCGGTACACGAATATGTGCCGTGACGCTCTATCAAGAAGGGGCATTTCCCGAAACGTCGGGCAACCCCGCCCACACCCCTCTCCCCTCCCAGGTTCAACAATAAAACGCGAAAACCTCTGCCCCTCGCGGCGGTCGTGGCGGCGGGCGACTGAGGCCACACAGGGGCGAGCGAGGCGGCACGGAGCGAACCGCACTCGGCGCGGCCAAGGTGTGTGCGCTCTGGAGAACGCGGAAGAGGGAGCTGCTCAGAGCGAGGCGGGGTCGGGCGGACTCGGCGTGCCGGCTGCGACTTGCGCGAGGCGTCACCGCGACCACCCTTCCTCCCAGCACCTTCACGCCGAGCAGCCGGCAACCCTCCGTCACGCTTCCTCCGTCGTCAGCAACAGCCGCCAAACTCCCTCCACCCCACCGAGGGAACCGCCGCTCCATCGCCACATCTGACAACGCAGAACCCCTCCTCCCCCGCCGCCGCCGCCGCCGCCCGGACCATGGCAACGCTCGGCGACGTGCCCGTCTTGCTCCTGCTGCTGCTGAGGGTGCTGCTCGAGTGCTGCTGGGCGCTCCTCCTGTGGCCCCTGCGGCTGCTGCTGCCCCGCCAGACGCGCTCGGTGCGCGGCGAGCTGTGTGTGGTGACGGGCGCCGCGCAAGGCATGGGGCGCCTCACGGCCCTCGGGCTCGCCCGCCTGGGCGCGCACGTGGCCGTGTGGGACATCAACGGGGTGAGAGGCGCGCGGCGCCACGTGGGTTGTTGGCCGGCTGCGTGGGTGAAAGTGAATTCGTTTCGAGGCTTAAAGCCCTGAGCCAACGGTGGCAATTTCACACTCCTGGAGCGGTGGCTGAGTCTTTCCACAGGGTTAAACACCGTTGACAACGCCACAAAGTGGTTATATATTTTATCTACCCGGGAGGGGTGATGCACTTTTTTGTGTTTCCCCGTAGGAAGGGGCGGAGGACACGGCGGCCCAGGCGCGGGAGCTCGGGGTGCAGGCGCGCGCCTACAAAGTGGACTGCAGCCGCAGGGAAGACATCCAGCGTGCAGCGGAACAGGTGAACCCCCTGCAGGCCCCACCACCATCTCCCCTTGCAGGTCCCACCACCACCTCCTGCAAGTCCCACCACCACCTCCTGCAAGTCCCACCACCACCTCCTGCAAGTCCCACCACCACCTCCTGCAAGTCCCATCACTACCTCCCCCTGCGGGTTCTACCGCCTCCTCTTGCAGGCTCACCACCTCCTCCCCTTGCAGGTCCCACCACCTCTTCCTACGGGTCTCGCTTTGGGTGCAGGGCAATGCAACTGAGACTCATCCTGATCCTCACCTGGGTAACAAATAAACTTCAATCGACTCTCATTCCCTCCCGAACTCCTTCCCGCCACCTTCCTCTCTCCCGCCCCACGGCGCCCCCACGCAGGTGAAGAAGGACATGGGGGAGGTGTGCATCCTGGTGAACAATGCCGGGGTCGTGTTCGTGGACGACCTGCTCAGCCTCGAGGACCACGAGATCCAGAAGACATTTGACGTCAACATCCTGGCTCACTTCTGGGTGAGTAGTACTCGTTTTATCTACCCTGGACGTATGATGGGCAAAGTTGGCTACGTACGGTGCGAAATAAGTTAATAATAATAATCGACCGATGCCCACCAAGGATTTGACCCTGCAGCCTTCTGCGTGGGTAGAGAAGTGTGAGTGGGTGGGTGAATGTGGGTGGGTGTGAGTGAGCGAGCGAGTGAGAGATTAAGTGAGGTGAGTGGGTGGGCGAGTGAGTGAATACCTGACGCGAGGTGCATAACCCACACACAGAGACCCCCCGTGTAGCCCTTCAGCAGTCTGGTAGGGAAAGTGCTGTTTAGCGAGCACTTATAGGGGTCGAAGTTCATTGGACCGACCGAGCGAGGACGTTGATGTGATGATTGGGGCTCTCACTGCCCCCCCCCCCCGCCCCCCGATCAGACTGTGCGCGCCTTCCTGCCCAGCATGCTGGAACGAAACCACGGCCACATCGTCACCGTGGCCTCGATGAGCGGCAAAATTGGCACGCCCTTATTGGTCAACTACAGGTGAGCCTGATGACCGCCTGTGCACTCGGTGAACAACAGGGGAGGTAGGTAATGAGGTGTTCACCTGGTTGACTGCGGGGTGAAGCGAGAGGATCATCTGGTCGGATAAAGTCACGGGACGCCTCACTCCTACGTGGGCCCGAAGATTGGTGTGCCCCTCCCCCCCCCCATCGTCCCATCCCCCGCATCTCCCCTCTCTGTCCGCCCTGTCCCTACATCCCTACATCCCTCCCTCCCTGATCCTCCCTCACATTGAGAAGGGGGGGTGCTGACACAAAGACGGCTCTGTGAGATCCGCACACAAAACCCCGTCGCTCTCTCCCCCGACCCTCTCTGCCTCCCTGTGATGATGCGAGGGGGAGGGGGATGGGTAATTGTGACAATAAGGAGATGTGCCCTCCATTCTCCCGTCCCTGTGATTCAAATTAAATGAACATGAGATCTCATCTCTCCGTGGGCTCGTGAGGCACGCCACGAGCTCCGCGTGGTGTGCACGCAGACTCGTGCGTGTGCACGCAGACTCGTGCGTGTGCACGCAGACTCGTGCGTGTGCACGCAGACTCGTGCGTGTGCACGCAGACTCGTGCGTGTGCACGCAGACTCGTGCGTGTGCACGCAGACTCGTGCGTGTGCACGCAGACTCGTGCGTGTGCACGCAGACTCGTGCGTGTGCACGCAGACTCGTGCGTGTGCACGCAGACTCGTGCGTGTGCACGCAGACTCGTGCGTGTGCACGCAGACTCGTGCGTGTGCACGCAGACTCGTGCGTGTGCACGCAGACTCGTGCGTGTGCACGCAGACTCGTGCGTGTGCACGCAGACTCGTGCGTGTGCGTGGCCCGGGACGTCTTTTCGTCTATCGTGGGAGGTGGTGGTGCATTAAATCAGAGTCAAAATATTTATTTTGGAGAAATCCGATGAGCTATCAAGCTTTTTTTCACGAATGTTCAGTCGGGGCGGTTAAGAATGTTACAACAACAAACAGTACACACACACACACGATAGGAGCGCAAAGTACAAGGAAGGTAAATAAATCACCAAAACAAATAAAACTCAACTATCAGGTAAAGCCCACTGAGATATTAACTTGTTTTTCACAAGCGACCTGACCACAAATGATAGCTCGACAAAGTGGCTTATCATTTGGACATTCATAGCAGCAAATTTATCTAAATAATCTCCATGCACGTGTCAAAATATGAGCGAACTGCACTTCGAACCTGCAAACCCGAGTTGAATTCACACTCGGCCTTCAATGATTACCTGGTAACGGTGTATAAATATTAGCACTGAGCAGACGATTAAGGCTGGGCATGTTACTAGCCATCCTCTCCCAAAGCTATAGGAGGGGATCTTTGTCTGTATGGCTAAGTCGCCACATGTGCGCCATTCTCAGCTCCTCGAAGTTCGCCGCCGTGGGTTTCGCCGAGGCTCTGCAAGCGGAGCTGCGCTTACTGGGCCGGGACGGCGTCCGCACCACGTGTCTGTGCCCCTACTTCGTGAACACCGGCTTCGTGCAGAACCCCCAATCACGGTGAAAACCGCACGCCACCACGGCACTCCTCCAACTCACTCCTCCATCTCACTTCCAAATCTCACTCCTCCATCTCACTCCTTCACCCCACTCCTCCATCCCACTCCTCCATCTCACTCCTCCATCTCACTCCTCCACCCCACTCCTCCATCTCACTCCTCCATCTCACTCCACCATCTCACTCCTCCACCCCACTCCTCCATCTCACTCCTCCATCAAACTCCTCCATCTCACTCCTTCACCCCACTCCTCCATCCCACTCCTCCATCTCACTCCTCCATCTCACTCCTCCACCCCACTCCTCCATCTCACTCCTCCATCTCACTCCACCATCTCACTCCTCCACCCCACTCCTCCATCTCACTCCTCCATCGCACTCCTCCATCTCACTCCTTCATCTCACTCCTCCATCCCACTCCTCCATCTCACTCCTCCATCCCACTCCTCCAACTCACTCCTCCATCGCACTCCTCCATCTCACTCCTTCATCTCAATCCTCCATCCCACTCCTCCATCTCACTCCTCCATCCCACTCCACCATCTCACTCCTCCACCCCACTCCTCCATCCCACTCCTCCATCTCACTCCACCATCTCACTCCTCCACCCCACTCCTCCATCTCACTCCTCCATCGCACTCCTCCATCTCACTCCTCCATCGCACTCCTCCATCTCACTCCTTCATCTCACTCCTCCATCCCACTCCTCCACCTCACTCCTCCATCGCACTCCTCCATCTCACTCCTTCATCTCACGCCTCCATCCCACTCCTCCATCTCACTCCTCCATCCCATTCCTCCATCTCACTCCTTCATCTCACGCCTCCATCCCACTCCTCCATCCCACTCCTCCATCTCACTCCTCCAACTCACTCCTCCATCCCATTCCTCCATCCCACTCCTGCATCTCACTCTTACATCTCACTCCTCCATCTCACTCCATCCCACTCCTCTATCCCACTCCTCCAACTCACTCCTCCATCCCACTCCTCCATCTCACTCCTCCATCCCACTCCTCCATCTCACTTCTCCACCACACTCTGCCATCCCACTCCACCATCCCACTCCTCCATCTCACTCCTCCACCTCACTCCACCATCCCACTCCTCCACCTCACTCCACCATCCCACTCCTCTATCTCACTCCTGCATCTCACTCCTCCAACTCACTCCTCCATCTCACTCCTCCAACTCACTCCTCCATCCCATTCCTCCATCTCACTCCTCCATCCCACTCCTCCACCCCACTCCTCCATCTCACTCCTCCATCCCATTCCTCCATCTCACTCCTTCATCTCACGCCTCCATCCCACTCCTCCATCCCACTCCTCCATCTCACTCCTCCAACTCACTCCTCCATCCCATTCCTCCATCCCACTCCTGCATCTCACTCTTACATCTCACTCCTCCATCTCACTCCATCCCACTCCTCTATCCCACTCCTCCAACTCACTCCTCCATCCCACTCCTCCATCTCACTCCTCCATCCCACTCCTCCATCTCACTTCTCCACCACACTCTGCCATCCCACTCCACCATCCCACTCCTCCATCTCACTCCTCCACCTCACTCCACCATCCCACTCCTCCACCTCACTCCACCATCCCACTCCTCTATCTCACTCCTGCATCTCACTCCTCCAACTCACTCCTCCATCTCACTCCTCCAACTCACTCCTCGATCTCACTCCTCCATCTCACTCCTCCATCCCACTCCTCCACCCCACTCCTCCATCTCACTCCTCCATCCCACTCCTCCATCCCACTCCTCCATCCCACTCCTCCATCTCACTCCTCCATCCCACTCCTCCATCCCATTCCTCCATCCCACTCCTCCATCTCACTCCTCCAACTCACTCCTCGATCTCACTCCTCCATCTCACTCCTCCATCCCACTCCTCCACCCCACTCCTCCATCTCACTCCTCCAACTCACTCCTCTATCCCATTCCTCCATCCCACTCCTCCATCTCACTCCTCCATCTCACTCCTCCATCTCACTCCTCCATCTCACTCCTCCATCCCACTCCTCCATCCCACTCCTCCATCTCACTCCTCCATCTCACTCCTCCAACTCACTCCTCCATCCCACTCCTCCATCTCACTCCTCCACCACACTCTGCCATCCCACTCCACCATCCCACTCCTCCATCTCACTCCTCTACCTCACTCCACCATCCCACTCCTCCACCTCACTCCACCATCCCACTCCTCTATCTCACTCCTCCATCTCACTCCTCCAACTCACTCCTCCATCTCACTCCTCCAACTCACTCCTCCATCCCATTCCTCCATCCCACTTTTCCAACTCACTCCTCCATCTCACTCCTCCATCTCACTCCTCCATCCCACTCCTCCATCTCACTCCTCCATCTCACTCCTCCATCCCACTCCTCCACTCCACTCCTCCATCTCACTCCTCCATCCCACTCCTCCAATCCCACTCCTCCAATCACCACTCCTCCATTCTCAACTCCTCCATCTCACTCCTCCATCTCACTCCTCCATCTCACTCCTCCAACTCACTGCTCCATCCCACTCCTCCATCTTATTCCTCCATCCCACTCCTCCATTTCACTCCTCCACCACACTCTGCCATCCCACTCCACGATCCCACTCCTCCATCTCACTCCTCCACCTCACTTCGCCATCCCACTCCTTGACCTCACTCCACCATCCCACTCCTCCACCTCACTCCACCATCCCACTCCTCCATCCCACTCCTCCATCTCACTCCACCATCCCACTCCTCTATCTCACTCCTCCATCTCACTCCACCATCTCACTCCACCATCCCACTCCTTCATCCCACTACTCCACCTCACTCCACCATCCTACTACTCCACCTCACTCCTCCACCTCACTCCACCATCCCACTCCTCCACTTCACTCCACCATCCCACTCCTCCACCCCACTCCTCCATCTCACTCCTCCATCCCACTCCTCCATCTCACTCCTCCATCTCACTCCTCCATCCCACTCCTCCATCTCACTCCTCCATCTCACTCCTTCATCTCACTCCTCCATCTCACTCCTCCATCCCAATCCTCCATCCCACTCCTCCACCCCACTCCTCCACCTCACTCCGCCACCCCACGCCTCCATCTCACTCCTCCATCTCACTCCTCCAGCTCACTCCTCCATCTCACTCCTCCATCTCACTCCACCATCCCACTCCTCCATCTCACTCCTCCACCCCACTCCTCCATCTCACTCATCCATCTCACTCCTCCATCTCACTCCTCCATCTCACTCCTCCATCTCACTCCTCCATCTCACTCCACCATCCCACTCCTCCATCTCACTCCTCCATCCCACTCCTCCATCTTACTCCTCCATCTCACTCCTCCATCCCACTCCTCCATCTCACTCCTCCATCCCACTCCTCCATCCCACTCCTCCATCTCACTCGTCCATCTCACTCCTCCATCTCACTCCTCCATCCCACTCCTCCATCTCACTCCTCCATCCCACTCCCCCATCTCACTCCTCCACCTCACTCCTCCACCCCACTCCTCCATCCCACTCCTCCAACTCACTCCTCCATCTCACTCCTCCATCTCACTCCTCCATCTCACTCCTCCAACTCACTCCTCCATCCCACTCCTCCATCTCACTCCTCCATTCCACTCCTCCATCTCACTCCCCCACCACACTCTGCCATCCCACTCCACCATCCCACTCCTCCATCTCACTCCTCCACCTCACTCCACCATCCCATTCCTCCACCTCACTCCACCATCCCACTCCTCCACCTAACTCCACCATCCCACTCCTCCACCTCACTCCACCATCCCACTCCTCTATCTCACTCCTCCATCTCACTCCACTATCCCACTCCTCCATCCCACTCCTCAACCTCACTCCACCATCCTACTACTCCACCTCACTCCACCATCCCACTCCTCCACCTCACTCCACCATCCCACTCCTCCACCCCACTCCTCCATCTCACTCCTCCATCTCACTCCTCCATCTCACTCCTCCATCTCATTCCTCCATCTCACTCCTCCATCACACTCCTCCATCTCACTCCTCCATCTCACTCCTCCATCTCACTCCTCCATCCCACTCCTCCACCCCACTCCTCCACGTCACTCCTACATCTCACTCCACCATCTCACTCCTCCATCTCACTCCTCCATCCCACTCCTCCACCCCACTCCTCCATCTCACTCCTCCATCTCACTCCTCCATTTCACTCCTCCATCTCACTCCTCCATCTCACTCCACCATCTCACTCCTCCATCCCACTCCTCCATCTTACTCCTTCATCTCACTCCTCCATCCCACTTCTCCATCTAACTCCTCCATCCCACTCCTCCACCCCACTCCTCCATCTCACTCCTCCTCCTCACTCCTCCATCTCCCTCCTCAACCCCACTCCTCCACCCCATTCCTCCATCTCACTCCTCCATCCCACTGCTCCATCTCACTCCTCCACCCCACTGCACCATCCCCCTCCTCCATCCCACTCCTCCACCCCACTCCTCCATCTCACTCCTCCATCTCACACCTCCATCTCACTCCTCCATCCCACTCCTCCATCCCACTCCTCCATCCCACTCCTCCGCCTCACTCCTCCATCCCACTCCTCCATCCCACTCCTCCATCCCACTGATCCATCTCACTCCTCCATCTCACTCCTCTATCTCACTCCTTCATCCCACTCCTCCATCCCACTCCTCCATCCCACTCCTCCATCTCACTCCTCCATCTCACTCCTTCATCTCACTCCTTCATCTCACTCCTCCATCCCACTCCTCCATCCCACTCCTCCATCCCACTCCTCCATCTCACTCCTACATCCCACTCCTCCACCCCACTCCACCATCTCACTCCTCCATCTCACTCCTCCACCCCACTCCTCCATCTCATTCCACCATCCCACTCCTCCACCCCCCACTCCTCCACCCCACTCCACCATCCCACTCATCTATCCCACTCCTCCATCTCACTCCTCCACCCCACTCCACCATCCCACTCCACCACCCCACTCCTCCACCCCACTCCACCATCCCACTCCTCCATCCCACTCCTCCATCCCACTCCTCCATCGCACTCCACCATATCACTCCTCCATCCCACTCCTCCATCCCCCTTCTCCATCTAACTCCTCCATCCCACTCCTCCACCCCACTCCTCCATCTCACTCCTCCACCCCACTCCTCCAACTCCCTCCTCAACCCCACTCCTCCACCCTATTCCTCCATCTCACTCCGCCATCCCACTGCTCCATCCCTCTCCTCCACCCCACTGCACCATCCCCCTCCTCCACCCCACTCCTCCACCCCACTCCTCCATCTCACTCCTCCACCCCACTGCACCATCCCCCTCCTCCATCCCACTCCTCCACCCCACTCCTCCATCTCACTCCTCCATCTCACTCCTCCATCTCACTCCTCCATCCCACTCCTCCATCCCACTCCTCCATCCCACTCCTCCATCTCACTCCTCCACCTCACTCCTCCATCCCACTCCTCCATCCCACTCCTCCATCCCACTGATCCATCTCACTCCTCCATCTCACTCCTCTATCTCACTCCTTCATCCCACTCCTCCATCCCACTCCTCCATCCCACTCCTCCATCTCACTCCTCCATCTCACTCCTCCATCTCATTCCACCATCCCACTCCTCCACCCCACTCCTCCACCCCACTCCACCATCCCACTCATCTATCCCACTCCTCCATCTCACTCCTCCACCCCACTCCACCATCCCACTCCACCACCCCACTCCTCCACCTCACTCCACCATCCCACTCCTCCATCCCACTCCTCCATCCCACTCCTCCATCGCACTCCACCATATCACTCCTCCATCCCACTCCTCCATCCCCCTTCTCCATCTAACTCCTCCATCCCACTCCTCCACCCCACTCCTCCATCTCACTCCTCCACCCCACTCCTCCATCTCCCTCCTCAACCCCACTCCTCCACCCTATTCCTCCATCTCACTCCTCCATCCCACTGCTCCATCCCTCTCCTCCACCCCACTGCACCATCCCCCTCCTCCATCCCACTCCTCCACCCCACTCCTCCATCTCACTCCTCCACCCCACTGCACCATCCCCCTCCTCCATCCCACTCCTCCACCCCACTCCTCCATCTCACTCCTCCATCTCACTCCTCCATCTCACTCCTCCATCCCACTCCTCCATCCCACTCCTCCATCCCACTCCTCCATCTCACTCCTCCACCTCACTCCTCCATCCCACTCCTCCATCCCACTCCTCCATCCCACTGATCCATCTCACTCCTCCATCTCACTCCTCTATCTCACTCCTTCATCCCACTCCTCCATCCCACTCCTCCATCCCACTCCTCCATCTCACTCCTCCATCTCACTCCTTCATCTCACTCCTCCATCCCACTCCTCCATCCCACTCCTCCATCCCACTCCTCCATCTCACTCCTACATCCCACTCCTCCACCCCACTCCACCATCTCACTCCTCCATCTCACTCCTCCATCTCACTCCTCCATCTCATTCCACCATCCCACTCCTCCACCCCACTCCTCCACCCCACTCCACCATCCCACTCATCTATCCCACTCCTCCATCTCACTCCTCCACCCCACTCCACCATCCCACTCCACCACCCCACTCCTCCACCCCACTCCACCACCCCACTCCTCCATCCCACTCCTCCATCCCACTCCTCCATCGCACTCCACCATCTCACTCCTCCATCCCACTCCTCCATCCCACTTCTCCATCTAACTCCTCCATCCTACTCCTCCACCCCACTCCTCCATCTCACTCCTCCACCCCACTCCTCCATCTCCCTCCTCAACCCCACTCCTCCACCCTATTCCTCCATCTCACTCCTCCATCCCACTGCTCCATCCCTCTCCTCCACCCCACTGCACCATCCCCCTCCTCCATCCCACTCCTCCACCCCACTCCTCCATCTCACTCCTCCATCCCACTCCTCCATCGCACTCCACCATCCCACTCCTCCACCCCACTCCTCCATCTCGCTCCTCCATCTCACTCCTCCATCTCACTCCTCCATCACACTCCTCCATCTCATTCCACCATACCACCCCTCCACCCCACTCCTCCACCCCACTCCACCATCCCACTCATCCATCCCACTCCTCCATCTCACTCCTCTACCCCACTCCACCATCCCACTCCACCACCCCACTCTTCCACCCCACTCCACCAACCCACTCCTCCATCCCACTCCTCCATCGCACTCCACCATCTCACTCCTCCACCCCACTCCTCCATCCCACTCCTCCATCCCACTTCTCCATCTCACTCCTCCATCCCACTCCTCCACCCCACTCCTCCATCTCACTCCTCCACCCCACTCTTCCATCTCCCTCCTCCACCCCACTCCTCCACCCAATTCCTCCATCTCACTCCTCCATCCCACTGCTCCATCTCACTCCTCCACCCCACTGCACCATCCCACTCCTCCATCTCACTCCTCCATCCCACTCCTCCATCGCACTCCACCATCCCACTCCTCCACCCCACTCCTCCATCTCACTCCTCCATCTCACTCCTCCATCGCACTCCTCCACCCCACTCCTCCACCCCACTCCTCCATCCCACTCCACCACCCCACTCCTCCATCTCACTGCACCATCCCACTCCTCCACCTCACTCCTCCACCTCACTCCTCCATCTCACTCCTCCATCTCACTCCTTCTTCACACTCCACCATCCCACTCCTCCATCCCACTCCTCCACCTCACTCCTCCATCTCACTCCTCCACCCCACTCTTCCATCCCACCCATCCATCCCACTCCTCCATCTCACTCCTCCATCTCACTCCACCATCCCACTCCCCCACCCCACTCCTCCACCCCACTCCTCCATCTCACTCCTCCACCCCACTCCTCTATCACACTCCACCATCCCACTCCTCCATCGCACTCCACCATCCCACTCCTCCACCCCACTCCTCCACCCTTTATCTAATTCCCGGCCCACCCACCCCCACCTCCATAGTCGTTGCTGCTGCTGCTGCTGCTTCTTCACTCCGCAGGTTTGTTGACGTGCTGGAGCCCGAGGCGGTGGTGTCGCGCCTCCTTTCCGCGATCCTCGCCGGAGAAACCCTCGTGCTCATCCCTTCCTCAATGCATTGCAATGTCCTCTTAAAGAGGTGAGGGGATTGGGTGGAGCGAGGTTGTTGGGGAGGTGGTGCGGAGCAGGCGCTTGAGGGGTGCGGCGAGCGAGCGAGTGGCGTTCGTAGGTTCTCCCGCGGTTCTGCATGGGTCTCCTCTGGATTTGTGGTTTCCTCTCGTAACTAAAATAACACACATGCACGCACTGTAACTGGTATTGGCTAAAAATCACAATGCTGAAACATTTCCAGCAGGCAGTCTTCGACTTATGAACACCCGACTTACGAACACCGTACTTATGAAACAGCTTCCATGACATATTAAAAAAAACGTTAACTTTAAACGCGTTTAAATACAGTGCATTATTGTGTTCCGACTTATGACCCGTTAGACTTACGAACGGGGGTCTCAGTATGAATTCGGTTTGTAACCCGAGGACTCCCCGTCCCTGATTCGGGTTTCAGACAGAGCAACAGCATTGCCCCCCCTACTGCAGCAACTGGGCAGTGCCCGCCTGGCAAAATCCCTACACTCGTTCGTGTCTAAACAAGTGTGAGGGTGATCATGATGATTATTATTAAATTACTAATCGTAATTAATCAGGTGAGACCAGGAGAGATCAGGATCGGAGTCTCATTCACACGAGCGGCCCGCGTCACCACAATCATTATAATTTGTACACTATAACTTGTACACTATAACTTGTACACTATCACTTGTACTAACACTATAACTTGTACACTATAACTTGTACACTATCACTTGTACTAATACTATTACTTGTACACTATAACTTGTACTAACACTATAACTTGACAACTATAACTTATACTAACACTATAACTTGTACTAACACTATAACTTGTACACTATAACTTGTACACTATAACTTGTACTAACACTAAAATTTTGATTTAAAGCTTTCGTGACTGCAGTAATTCATATTCTTTTATTATTTTATTGTTTCCCTTCAACGTGACTTGACCGAAAGAACTAAGATTATTTGTACTAACACTATAATTTGTAGACTATAATTTGTACCAACACTATAACTTGTACACTATAACTTGTACTAACACTATAACTTGTACACTATAACTTGTTCTAAAACTATAACTTGTACTAACACAATAACTTGTACACTATCACTTGTACTAACACTATAACTTGTACACTATAACTTGTACACTATATCTTGTACTAACATTATGACTTGTACACTATAACTTGTACACTATAACTTGTACACTATAACTTGTACTAACACTATAACTTGTACACTATAACTTGTTCTAACACTATAACTTGTACTAACACTAACTTGTACACTATCACTTGTACTAACACTATAACTTGTACACTATAACTTGTACTAACACTATAACTTGTACTAACACTATAACTTGTACACTATAACTTGTACACTATAACTTGTACGTACACTATAACTTGTACACTATAACTTGTACGTACACTATAACTTGTACACTATAACTTGTACTAACACTATAACTTGTACTAACACTGTAACTTGTACTAACACTGTAACTTGTACACTATAACTTGTACACTATAACTTGTACACTATAACTTGTACTAACATTATAACTTGTACACTATAACTTGTACTAACACTATAACTTGTACTAACACTATAACTTGTACACTATAACTTGTACACTATAACTTGTACTAACATTATGACTTGTACACTATAACTTGTACACTATAACTTGTACACTATAAATTGTACACTATAACTTGTACTAACACTATAACTTGTACTAACACTATAACTTGTACTAACACTATAACTTGTACACTATCACTTGTACTAACACTATAACTTGTACACTATAACTTGTACTAACACTATAACTTGTACTAACACTATAACTTGTACACTATAACTTGTACACTATAACTTGTACGTACACTATAACTTGTACACTATAACTTGTACTAACACTATAACTTGTACTAACACTGTAACTTGTACTAACACTATAACTTGTACACTATAACTTGGACTAACACTATAACTTGTACACTATAACTTGTACACTATAACTTGTACACTATAACTTGTACTAACATTATAACTTGTACACTAAAACTTGTACACTATAACTTGTACACTATCACTTGTACTAACACTATAACTTGTACACTATAACTTGTACACTATCACTTGTACTAATACTATTACTTGTACACTATAACTTGTACTAACACTATAACTTGACAACTATAACTTATACTAACACTATAACTTGTACTACCACTATAACTTGTACACTATAACTTGTACACTATAACTTGTACTAACACTAAAATTTTGATTTAAAGCTTTCGTGACTGCAGTAATTCATATTCTTTTATTATTTTATTGTTTCCCTTCAACGTGACTTTACCGAAAGAACTAAGATTATTTGTACTAACACTATAATTTGTAGACTATAACTTGTACCAACACTATAACTTGTACACTATAACTTGTACCAACACTATAACTTGTACACTATAACTTGTACTAACACTATAACTTGTACACTATAACTTGTTCTAAAACTATAACTTGTACTAACACAATAACTTGTACACTATCACTTGTACTAACACTATAACTTGTACACTATAACTTGTACACTATATCTTGTACTAACATTATGACTTGTACACTATAACTTGTACACTATAACTTGTACACTATAACTTGTACTAACACTATAACTTGTACACTATGACTTGTTCTAACACTATAACTTGTACTAACACTATAACTTGTACACTATCACTTGTACTAACACTATAACTTGTACACTATAACTTGTACTAACACTATAACTTGTACTAACACTATAACTTGTACACTATAACTTGTACACTATAACTTGTACGTACACTATAACTTGTACACTATAACTTGTACTAACACTATAACTTGTCTAACACTGTAACTTGTACTAACACTGTAACTTGTACACTATAACTTGTACACTATAACTTGTACACTATAACTTGTACTAACATTATAACTTGTACACTATAACTTGTACTAACACTATAACTTGTACTAACACTATAACTTGTACACTATAACTTGTACACTATAACTTGTACTAACATTATGACTTGTACACTATAACTTGTACACTATAAATTGTACACTATAACTTGTACTAACACTATAACTTGTACTAACACTATAACTTGTACACTATCACTTGTACTAACACTATAACTTGTACACTATAACTTGTACTAACACTATAACTTGTACACTATAACTTGTACACTATAACTTGTACGTACACTATAACTTGTACACTATAACTTGTACTAACACTATAACTTGTACTAACACTGTAACTTGTACTAACACTATAACTTGTACACTATAACTTGGACTAACACTATAACTTGTACACTATAACTTGTACACTATAACTTGTACACTATAACTTGTACTAACATTATAACTTGTACACTATCACTTGTACACTATAACTTGTACACTATCACTTGTACTAACACTATAACTTGTACACTATCACTTGTACACTATCACTTGTACTAATACTATTACTTGTACACTATAACTTGTACTAACACTATAACTTGACAACTATAACTTATACTAACACTATAACTTGTACTAACACTATAACTTGTACACTATAACTTGTACTAACATTATGACTTGTACACTATAACTTGTACACTATAACTTGTACACTATAAATTGTACACTATAACTTGTACTAACACTATAACTTGTACTAACACTATAACTTGTACACTATCACTTGTACTAACACTATAACTTGTACACTATAACTTGTACTAACACTATAACTTGTACTAACACTATAACTTGTAAACTATAACTTGTACGTACACTATAACTTGTACACTATAACTTGTACTAACACTATAACTTGTACTAACACTGTAACTTGTACTAACACTATAACTTGTACACTATAACTTGGACTAACACTATAACTTGCACACTATAACTTGTACACTATAACTTGTACACTATAACTTGTACTAACATTATAACTTGTACACTATAACTTGTACACTATAACTTGTACACTATCACTTGTACTAACACTATAACTTGTACACTATAACTTGTACACTATCACTTGTACTAATACTATTACTTGTACACTATAACGTGTACTAACACTATAACTTGACAACTATAACTTATACTAACACTATAACTTGTACTAACACTATAACTTGTACACTATAACTTGTACACTATAACTTGTACTAACACTAAAATTTTGATTTAAAGCTTTCGTGACTGCAGTAATTCATATTCTTTTATTATTTTATTGTTTCCCTTCAACGTGACTTTACCGAAAGAACTAAGATTATTTGTACTAACACTATAATTTGTAGACTATATCTTGTACCAACACTATAACTTGTACACTATAACTTGTACTAACACTATAACTTGTACACTATAACTTGTTCTAAAACTATAACTTGTACTAACACAATAACTTGTACACTATCACTTGTACTAACACTATAACTTGTACACTATAACTTGTACACTATATCTTGTACTAACATTATGACTTGTACACTATAACTTGTACACTATAACTTGTACACTATAACTTGTACTAACACTATAACTTGTACACTATAACTTGTTCTAACACTATAACTTGTACTAACACTATAACTTGTACACTATCACTTGTACTAACACTATAACTTGTACACTATAACTTGTACTAACACTATAACTTGTACTAACACTATAACTTGTACACTATAACTTGTACACTATAACTTGTACGTACACTATAACTTGTACACTATAACTTGTACTAACACTATAACTTGTACTAACACTGTAACTTGTACTAACACTGTAACTTGTACACTATAACTTGTACACTATAACTTGTACACTATAACTTGTACTAACATTATAACTTGTACACTATAACTTGTACTAACACTATAACTTGTACACTATAACTTGTACACTATAACTTGTACTAACATTATGACTTGTACACTTTAACTTGTACACTATAACTTGTACACTATAAATTGTACACTATAACTTGTACTAACACTATAACTTGTACACTATAACTTGGACTAACACTATAACTTGTACACTATAACTTGTACACTATAACTTGTACACTATAACTTGTACACTATAACTTGTACTAACATTATAACTTGTACACTATAACTTGTACACTATAACTTGTACACTATAACTTTTACTAACACTATAACTTGTACACTATAACTTGTACACCATAACTTGGACTAACACTATAACTTGTACACTATAACTTGTACACTATACCTTGTACTAATACTATAACTTGTACATTATAACTTTTACTAACACTATAACTTGTACACTATAACTTGTACTAACACTATAACTTGTACTAACATTATAACTTGTACACTATAACTTGTACTAACACTAGAACTTGTACACTATAACTTGTACTAACACTATAACTTGTACTAACATTATAACTTGTACACTATAACTTGTACTAACACTATAACTTGTACACTATAACTTGTCCTAACACTATAACTTGTACACTATAACTTGTACTAACACTATAACTTGTACGCTATAACTTGTACACTATAATTTGTACACTATAACTTATACTAACACTATAACTTGTACACTATAACTTGTACACTATAACTAGTACGTTATGGTGCAAACGAACACCACAACAATCGGCAACTCCACCTTAGACCACAACTCCACCCATCACAACAAACAACAGCTGCTACAGCCACGGGTACAACAACCATAAGACTGGCGATAACAATAATAACCACAACATTGGCAACAACAACAACCACAACACTGAGATCAACAACAACCATTACAATGGAAACAACAACAACTATAACGCTGTGAACAACAATAACCACAACACTGGGAATAACAACAACAACAACACATAGCATCACCCAGGGCACGAGGATAAGCACAGCAACCACGACGACATCTCAGCCACAACACAGACTCCCACAGCACAAACAGCCACAACACAATCAGCCACAACACAACCAGCCACAACACAGACAGCCACAACACAGACTCCCACAGCACAACCAGCCACAACACAAGCAGCCACAACACAGACTCCCACAACACAACCAGCTACAACACAGACTCCAACAACACAACCAACCACAACACAGCAGCCACAACACAACCAGCAACAACACAACCAGCCACAACACATCAGCCACAACACAACCAGCCACAACACAGACTCCCACAGCACAACCAGCCACAACACAACTAGCCACAACACAACCAGCCACAACACAACCAGCCACAACACATACAGACACAACACAACCAGCCACAACACAACCAGCCACAACACAACCATCCTCAACACAGACTCCCAAAACACATCCAGCCACAACATAACCAGCAACAACACAGACTCCCACAACACAGACACCCACAACACCATTAGCCACAACACCATCAGCCACAGCACAATAAGCCACAACACAACGAGCCACAACACATCCAACCACAACACAGACTTCCACAACACAGACTGCAACAACACAACTAGCCACAACACAACCAGCCACAACATAAACAGCCACAACACAACCAGCCACAACACAACCAGCCACAACACAACTAACCACAACACAAGTAGCCACAACACAGACTCCAACAACACATCCAACCACAACACAACCAGCCACAACACAGACTCCCACAGCACAATCAGCCTCAACACAACTAGCCACAACACAATCAGCCACAACACAGACTCCAACACCACAACTAGCCACAACACACTCAGCCACAACACAACCAGCAACAACACAATCAGCCACAACACAACAGCCACAACACAACCAGCCACAACACAGACTCCCACAGCACAACCAGCCACAACACAACTAGCCACAACACAACCAGCCACAACACATACTCCCACAACACAACCAGCTACAACACAACCAGCCACAACACAACCAGCCACAACACAATCAGCCACAACACAATCAGCCACAACACAACCAGCAACAACACAACCAGCCACAACACTGACTCCCACAACACAACTAGCCACAACACAACTAGCCACAACACAACCAGCAACAACACAACCAGCCACAACACAATCAGCCACAATACAACCAGCCACAACACAGACTCCAACAACACAACCAGCCACAACACAGACTCCCACAACACAACCAGCTACAACACAGACTCCCACAACACAATCAGCCACAACATAACCAGCAACAACACAACCAGCAACAACACAACCAGCCACAACACAATCGGCCACAACACAACCAGCCACAACATAACCAGCCACAACACAACCAGCCACAACACAACCAGCCACAACACAACCAGCCACAACACAACCAGCCACAACACAGACTCCCACAACACAATCAGCCACAGCACAATCAGCCACAACACAGACTCCCACAACACAGACTCCCACAACACAGACTCCCACAACACAGACAGCCACAACACCATCAGCCACAGCACAATCAGCCACAACACAGACTCCCACAACACAGACAGCCACAACACCATCAGCCACAGCACCATTAGCCACAACACAGACTCCCACAACACAGACTCCCACAACACAGACTCCCACAACACAGACTCCCACAACACAGACAGCCACAACACCATCAGCCACAGCACCATCAGCCACAACACAGACTCCCACAACACAGACACCAACAACACCATCAGCCACAGCACCATCAGCCACAACACAGACTCCCACAACACAGACTCCCACAACACAGACAGCCACAACACCATCAGCCACAGCACCATCGGCCACAACACAGACTCCCACAACACAGACTCCCACAACACAGACTCCCACAACACAGACTCCCACAACACCATCAGCCACAGCACCATCAACCACAACACAGACTCCCACAACACAGACTCCCACAACACAGACTCCCACAACACCATCAGCCACAACACAGACTCCCACAACACAGACTCCCACAACACAGACAGCCACAACACCATCAGCCACAGCACCATCAGCCACAACACAGACTCCCACAACACAGACTCCCACATCACAGACTCCCACAACAGAGCTATGGGCGTGTGGGTCCCTAGGTTATGACGCTTGCGGGTGATGGGGCATGTGGTGAAGGGAGGGGGGGGTGTAGTGATGGGGCATGTGGTGAAGGGGGGGGGTGTAGTGATGGGGCATGTGGTGAAGGGGGGATGTAGTGATGGGGCATGTGGTGAAGGGGGGGGGGGGTGTAGTGATGGGGCATGTGGTGAAGGGGGGGTGTAGTGATGGGGTGTGTAGATGTGTGGGCGATGGAGCGATGGGACGTGTTGATGATGGAGCGTATAGGTGATGGTGTGATGGGGCTTGAGGGTGGTGGGGCGTATGGGTGATGGTGTGATGGGGCGTGCGGCTGATGGGGCGTATTGGTGGTGGTGTGATGGGGCGTGCGGCTGATGGGGCGTGTGGCCCCGCGTCTCCCAGCCTGCTCCCCACTCGTGCCCTACAAGCGATCTACGCCACGATGGCGATCAGCTTCAAAACCCGCTCCGGCCTCGCGGGGACGAAGACGAGCGGCGAGGAGTCGCAGGAGCCCGGAGCGGAGCGCGGAGCCAAGGTGCGGCTCTGAGAGCCTCCCAACATCGAGCCCGGGCCCGGAAGGTTCTTCTCCCCGTGCCTGTAGTGGAGGCGTACAGGCGCCTTTGTTTATACCAATTGTGGCAACGTGTCCGCTCGGATCTCTCGCAGAGCGACTCCTTCTGAGATCGCCGAATGTGACTTTTGTTTTCATCCACACACGCGGGGACGCCCTGCAATAGAGGGGAATGCTGATCCCGCAGTGGCCAAATAAAAATAAAAACCTAACGATCACGTCGCTTCCGTGCCGTCTGTGATGATTCGCTGCACGAGAGCGCCCGGTTTAATCGCGAGTGGCTGAGACCCAGGTTCAAGGCCAGCGTCTCAGCAGTGCCACCTGATTGCCCTGACGGCCCCCCAATCCACCCGGCCACGGCGAGCTCTGGCTCAACGTAGAACGCAGATCGCATCGTCGTCTCGTCCGTTCTTCGGCCAAAACCGCGACGACGTCTCCATCATGAGCGATGCGGCGAGTCGCCGCGCAGGGCGACGGTCTCCACGCGTTCCGTCGGGACGCACACCACCTGCCCACTGGGACCTGCTGCAGCTGGCGGAACCGTCCGGAACCGTCCGGAACCGTCCGTTCGCGCATGCGTCCGTGCGTGTGTCTATACATGTGTGTGTGTATCCATGCGTGTGTCCGTGCGTGTGTGTATCCATGCGTGTGCCCGTGCGTGTGTGTATCCATGCGTGTGTCCGTGCGTGTGTGTATCCATGCGTGTGCCCGTGCGTGTGTGTATCCATGCGTATGTCCGTGCGTGTGTCTATCCATGCGTGTGGCCGTGCGTGTGTGTATCCATGCGTATGTGTATCCATGCGTGTGCCCGTGCGTGTGTCTATGCATGCGTATGTCCGTGCGTGTGTCTATGCATGCGTGTGCCCGTGCGTGTGTGTATCCATGCGTGTGCCCGTGCGTTCGTCCGTGCGTCCGTCTGCGTGGCGGAGGGAGCGGGTCTCCAAACCAGAATGCCAACCCCCACAAGGGAGCTGCACGGCCCTCTACCAGAAGGGCCCTGAGACTCACTGAGGCTTTCCTGCATAAACGACTCTTGCTCCTATTATTATGATTTGCGATGGTGACATTGACCAGAGGTTTGTGGTCCGATTCCAGTGGGCCGCACGGGTTAAACCTGTGGGGTGTATTCACCGTAAATTATGCGCCGTCCGCTTCGTAGTGCATGCGACGTCGTTCAAAGAATGGTAGAACGGCGGTGTGCGGGCATCGTGGTCAGTACCGGACTAAGCTAGTGCGGGGCCTATAGCATATGTTATGAAGGGGCCCTAAGTAAAAAAAAAAAACGTAAATATTAAAACACAAATGTTTTACTTGCATAGTAAAGTAATTGTATTTTTTTATTTGCTATACAGTCAGATAATACGACAAATCGCTAACCTTAAACACCCAGTCGTTCATAAAAGTTGAAGGCAGTGTAGTACTATAGTAATAGAGCAAGTGCAGAATCACTGAACCGGAATTGATAGCTTGAAAGCATTTAGCGCGGTGCCCTTGAAAGTGCGGGGCCCGTAGCTACGACTATATATGTAGTCGTAGCTACATATGTAGTAGTAGCTACACTAGCTACTACTACACGTGTGGCTACTACTACATATGTAGCTACTACATATGTAGTCGTAGCTACACGTGTGGCTACTACTACACGCGTGGCTACTACTACACGTGTAGCTACTACTACACGCGTAGCTACTACTACACGCGTGGCTACTACTACACGCGTGGCTACTACTACACGCGTAGCTACTTTTGCTACTAGGATAACCCGGCACTGATCGCGGTCCGAATCCACCAAAGCGTAGAGAGAGTGAGAGAGGCAGCGCGGCTGGTCCGACTCGTGCATTGGGAAACACGGTGATCGTCGCCCCCGTGGAGCGGGCACGTGGGCAGCGCCCTCTGGGTCAGGGGTCGGCAGCCTGCGGCTCCGGAGCCCCACGCAGCCTCTTTGGCTGCCCCCTTTGCGGGCAGACGTTTTAAAAATTACAAAAACAACGTAATTCTGAAACGCAATTTCACGTCAAGATAAGTGATTAAATATGGCAGGGAATGGGTTGCTATGGATTGTCTTGGTGATGACAAAATGTACAAACAGGCAAACTGTACTGATAAAGGTCACCTAAGGGGGACAAACACTCAACAAACGCAGTTCATGGTAATTGCTTTTTCCCCTTTTATCTGGCAACAAAACAGGTGTTAAGTTTTGATTTAAAGCTTTCGTGACTGCAGGGATTCATATATTTGGTTCTTTCGGTAAAGTCACGTAGAAGGGAAACAATAAAATAATAAAAATATAAAACAACATTTTTATTATTTTGTTTCCCTTCTACGTGATTTTACCGAAAGAACCAAGAATATATAGGTGTTAAGTTGTTAAAACACCAGACTAAAACCCTTTACGAGGAATCATGTCTGCATTCACCACAATACTTGTGGTCAAAATGCAAACAAAAAACATACCCTGATAATGGTGCATTGTCTTTTAAACGGATTGGTCCACACCAGGGACAACTTTCTTTTGAGCCTCGTCTCAAACGGTGTTAGACCAGAGGACGCCAAAAGGCGTACAGCCTAAAGGCAATGCCACTATCAGAGTAATGAGAGCTCGGGTACAGCAGCTACATCATGGGACCTCCTTTGCCAGTACCAAAATATGATAATATTTTTTCCCCCACTTTTATCTGGCAACAAAACAGGTGTTAAGTTGATTTGAAGCTTTCGTGACTGCAGGAATCCATACTCTTTGGTTCTTTCGGAAAAGTCACGTGGGTATAAAATAAAATAAATCACGACGTTTCGGGCGCAACACAAGCGTCCGTCATCAGGTGGGAAAGCCATTGCTTGCTGCTGATGCAGACTGTTTTAAAAGGTTTTACATTAACATGCTAATCTCTCACATTAACATAGCCACTTCAGTGCTCTCGTTTAGGAGGCCGCTCTCTTATCTTACATTAACATGCTAATTTCTCACATTAACATCACTAGCACCGCCCACTTCTTTATGACCCTTGGGCTACACCCATTTCAAACCTTTTAAAACAGTCTGCCTCAGCAGCAGACCATGCTTTCCCACCTGATGACGGACGCTTGTGTTGCGTCCGAAACGTCGTGATTTATTTTATTTTATACCTACGTGACTTCACCGAAATAACCAAAGAGTATGGGTGTTAAGTTGTTAAAACACCAAACTGAAACTTTTTGTTTACAAGGAATCACGTCTGCAGTTTACTCCATCACCTATTTCGTTTTAAACGTGAGAATGCGTGTTGCCATCTGGTGTATACTTGCTGCTGCTGCTGCTGTGTTTGTGTACACACAGCTTTGCGTGTGATGCGGCTCTCGAACTATTGTGGTCAAAGGCAAACACTTTAATAACATGTCTCTCCTTATTCTTTGAAACGTTGCCGACCCCTGGGCTAGAGAGAAAAAATAAGAGTTGGGAATCCGCAAAGGCTGTCGGGAGTAAATGAGCGTAATCATAGACAATGTTCACCTCTCATGAAACAATACAGTGAGGGAAAAAAGTATTTGATCCCCTGCTGATTTTGTACGTTTGCCCACTGACAAAGAAATGGTCAGTCTATAATTTTAATGGTAGGTTTATTTGAACAGTGAGAGACAGAATAACAACAAAATCCAGAAAAACGCATATCAAAAATGTTATAATTTGATTTGCATTTTAATGAGGGAAATAAGTATTATAGACTGATCATTTCTTTGTCAGTGGGCAAACGTACAAAATCAGCAGGGGATCAAATACTTTTTTCCCCTCACTGCATATATGTTATCATAACGCACACGCAGGGAGACAACAAAGACAAAGATCCCCTCTATACCCTTTTGACAGAATGTTGGGGCAAGTGCTGTTAGCGAACACCGATTAAGACCGGCACCACGCCCCGTCGCCTTTGTCTCCCCAGAGCTGATGTTTACACACCGCAGCAGGTACTCGTTTGAGGCTGAGTAAATCTTGGGGAGGCCCATGCCCGGTTCAAATATGCGAGACTGTTATTGGTCGTGAGCGGGAATAGAACCCGGGTGGCCGGGTTCGTAGCACAGTGCGCTAACTATAACACTACCGCTCCCCATAGGCACGCGTACACAGGCACAGACACCCACACACAGGCACAGACACCCGCATACAACAACAGAAGCCGCCATTCTCCACCAAGTGGCCTTGACGTCACAAAGACGCATGTGTGTCAAGCGAGATGCACGTCGAGGCCACGTGGAGGCTCGCTGACGGGAGGTCACGAGACAGACCCAAGTGCTGTGGTTTGACTGACTGACTTAGATGACTGGCAGATGCATGAGCTGTGCCCCCACCCTCCACCGTGCCAACCTGCTGAATTTTAGCCGCACGGTGCTCCGATCGTTGTGAGCGTCGCTCCTCTGCCCTCCGTTGTTGTTGGAGGGCGACTCCTCCTGCTGGTATCAGTGTTCGGCAAGTCCACCCATCTCCACGTCCGCCTGAACAACATCACTCCATATTTTTTTCAGTATTTGTCGCGCCCGTTTAATTCCCTCTATCCGGCCAAACAGAAGCTGCTTGGGCATGCAGTGACTGACTCAGCCATGTAGCATGCGGGCTACATGATCCAGCCAATGCAGTCTTGCCCACCGGAGGCGCTCATTGATGGGAATGCGTCCAGATCTGTCAAGGATGCGTGAGCTCCTCACACAATCCAGCCTGTTGGTTAAACCCAGAATGGATAGTCGGCAGTCTCTTCTGGATGTTTAGAACTGGCGCAGATGTTCCATTCGAGGAGTCCACGTTTCGCAAGCATAGATAAGGGAGGACATGAAAAGACCCGAAACGTCGTGTGGAGCGACGGACCAGGTAGCTTCCAACACAGCGTTATGCAACTGATGAAAAGAGAATGCAGCCCGACTGATTTGCAGTGAGACCTCTGCGTTTAAGCCGGAGCTGGTCTTAACACACTGCCCAGACATGGGAAACTCTCTCCATAACTGCGCCCTCGCCAATGGGGAGTTGAGGGGGTGTGATAGCAGAACATTCCCAGTCAAAGTGCTTAGTTTTGGTGGGGCTGATGGTAAGTCCTCACCTCTTAGTGGCACGCTCCAGGTTCATCAGCAGCGCCTCCAACTCCTCCTCTGAGTGAGCAGCAATTACCAGATCATCAGCATACATAACTTGGTTGACCAATAGGAAGTCATCTCTCGCCCGCACCAGAGCATCGAACAGCCTCCCATTATATCTGTACCAGATGGACATTCCTCTGGTACAGCCATGAACAGTTTATCGAATTACATGGTCGAAGATGATGTAAAAAAAATGTGGGATCCAGATTACATCCCTGTGGCACCCCAATGTGAACAGGGAATGGCTCTGGCTTCTGACCACGTAGCTTTACCAGGGACTGCCCACTATCACCAAGGCGCTTAATGATTGTGAACAGAGAGTCAGGGACTCGGAAATCACGAGGAACAGGCCAGAACCCTGGCCTATTGATGGTATCATAGGCCTTGACCAGGCCAATAAAGCAGAGATGTAGGTCGTGTGGGAATTCCCTTCAACTCATCTACAGCAGACGGAGAGAGACTATGGCATCCGTGCAGGACCGCACCGCTCTGAAACCACACTGGGGCTTCGCAAGCTTCTCCTCAGCGTGTCTGGCAAGGCGATGTTGAATAATCCTCGCCAGGACATACACACAGGACACACAGGACACACACACACAGCACACACACACAGGACACACACACACAGAACACACACACAGGACACACACACAGCACACACAGGATGCACACACAGCACACTCAGGACACACACACAGCACATACAGGACACACACACAGAACACACACACACCAAACACACACAGGACACACACACAGAGCACACACACAGCACACACACACAGCACACACAGGACACACACACAGCACACACACACAGCACACACACACAGCATGCATGCGCGTACACACAGAGACAGCGGATCAGTCGGGACTCGTCAGACCCCGCGTACCCCGCCCTCCCTCCCCCCACGCCCAGAGCGTGCTCATCAGCTGCTCCCCTTCCCGCACCCCCGTGCGGACAAGACGTGACGTCACAGCCCCCCCCCCCTTCCTCCCATCCCCCCAACCCCTTCCTCATCATCAGCGCTTGAGCTCGCAACGCATTCCCCGCTCCGCGTCTCTCGCGCACCACGCAACGAAACGAGCCGCGTCCACCTCCTCGCCTCACGCCTCCTCCTCATCCTCCTCCTCATCCTCGTCTCGCGCCCCAGCTCGGCATGAAGCCGCTGTTGGTGCTGCTGGCGCTGGCGCTGGCTCGGGCCGAGGAGCCGGGCCCGAGCGCCGACGGCTGCGGGCCGTGCGAGCCCGACTCGTGCCCCGCGGCCAAGTGTCGCGCTCCGGAGCTGCTGGCCAAGGACGCGTGCGGTTGCTGCCCGCTCTGCCTCGGCGTCGAGGGGGAGCCGTGCGGCGGCGTCGACCCCGCGGGCCGGGGCCGCTGCGCGCAGGGCTACGTGTGCCTCGCCTCGCCGGGAGACGGCGACGTCGGGGCGGCGGGAGCCGGGAGCACGAGGGCCGGCGGCTCGGCGGGGCGGTGCGTGTGCAAGCACGACTTCGCGGTGTGCGGCTCGGACGCGAAGACCTACGAGACGGTGTGCGCGCTGCACCTGGCCAGCTGGCTATCGACACACGCGGGGCGTAGCAAGGTGCACAAGGAGCACGACGGGGAGTGCAAGTACGGTGAGTGCGCGCGGTGGTGGCGGGGTGAGTGCGTGGGGTGGTGGCGGGGTGAGTGCGTGGGGTGGTGGCGGGGTGGTGGCGGGGTCCGCGACGCAGGGGGCTGCGCGCACGTGAAGACACCCACGGGCGCGACAACTCACGGGCGCTCACGCGTGCATAAGCTCAAGGGCATGCACGGACACACACGGATGCGCACGGACATTGATGGAATTCAAGCATGTATATGTGTGTGTGTGCAGGCGGGTGTGTGTGTGCAGGCGGGTGTGTATGTGTTGTCGGGTTTGGTGTGTGTGTGTGTAGGTGGGTGTGTGTGTGTAGGTGTGTGTGTGTGTAGGTGTGTGTGTAGGTGGGTGTGTGTGTGTAGGTGTGTGTGTGTAGGTGTGTGTGTGTAGGTGGGTGTGTGTAGGTGGGTGTGTGTGTGTAGGTGGGTGTGTGTGTGTAGGTGGGTGTGTGTGTGTAGGTGGGTGTGTGTGTGTAGGTGTGTGTGTGTAGGTGGGTGTGTGTGTGTAGGTGTGTGTGTGTGTGTGTAGGTGGGTGTGTGTGTAGGTGTGTGTGTGTAGGTGTGTGTAGGTGTGTGTGTGTGTAGGTGGGTGTCTGTGTAGGTGTGTGTGTGTAGGTGTGTGTGTAGGTGTGTGTGTGTGTAGGTGGGTGTCTGTGTAGGTGGGGGTGTGTGTGTGCGTGCGCACGCGAACCGCAATTTATTCGAGCGGAACAGAAAAAACACAAAACCCGGCTCCGAGGCCAGGGGTCGCACCCCGCCCCGCCCCTCCCGCCAAGTCCCCGCGGAGCTCATCGCGGTCCCCGCTCAATAGCGGGGACCGCGGGATGGGATTGCGATGTCGGGGGAGGAAGGAGTTCAATCGAAGCGGCCGAGTGAGGAATTCAAATCGTGCGCCCGGGCGCATTGGGCCCGGGCGACGGCGTCCCGGGCGGGCGTCGCTGCTCGTGTAAGCGGCGAGTGCGCCTCTAGCTCGGCTGTAACGGGGCTCCTGGGCTATTTATAGACTTCCCTGTGCACCGTGCACACACAGACACGCGCACACACACAGACACGCGCACACACACAGACACATAGATCCCCTGTATAGCCTTAACAGACTGTAGGGGAAAGCGCTGTTAGCGAGCACCTATAAAGGCCGGCACGGCACACGAGGGGGTGGGTGGCCAACACCACGCCCGGCCGCCTTTGTCTCCCTAGTGGCGATGTTTACACATCGCACCAGGTACTCGTTTGAGGCTGAGTCGACCTAGGGGATGCCCAGGATCGGTTCAGATAATCGTCACTGGTGTTTTCCGTGAGCGATAATCGAACCCGGGTCGCCAGGTTCGTATTGCAGCACGCTAACCGCTACACTACCGCACAACACGCACACACACAGACACACAAACACGCGCATACACACAGATACACGCATACACACACACAGACATACACAGATACACGCGCACACACACAGACACACAAACACGCGCACGCACACACACACACAGACAGACACACACAGAGACAAGCGCACACACACAGAAACACGCGCACACACACAAACACACAAACACGCGCACACACACAGACACGCGGACGCACACACACACACAGACAGACACACACAGAGACAAGCGCACACACACAGAAACACGCGCACACACACAGACACACAAACACGTACACGGACACGCACACACAGACACGCGCACGCACACACACACAGACAGACACGCACACAGACACACACACAGACACGCATACACACACAGACACGCGTACACACACAGACACACACACACAGAGACACGCGCACACACACAGACACGCGCACACACACAGACACGCATATACACACAGACACACAGACAGACACGCACAGAGACACGCGCACACACACAGACACGCGCACACACACAGACACAGACACGCATACACAGACACACAGACAGACACACACACAGAGACACGCGCACACACACAGACACACATACACATACACAGACACACACAGACACGCATACACGCACACAGACACACACAGACACGCGTACACACAGACACGCGTACACACACACAGACACACACATACACACACACAGACACACACGGACACGGACAGGCGAGCACACGGCGACACACGGTAAAGTACAGGCACACTGATAGGCACCTTGCGCACACAACACATAGCACACAACACACAGCACATAGCACACAACACACAGCACACAACACACAAAACATAGCACACAACACACCGCGATACGCACACAACACATAGCACACAACACACAGTACACAACACATAGCACACAACACATCGCGATACGCACACAACACACAGCGATAAGCACACACACATACATACAAAGAGACAGATCCCCCGCATAGCCTGTAACAAAGAAGCTGTTGGGGAACATGTTGTTAGCGAGCACCTATGAATGCCGGCACGGCACACGAGGGGGTGGGTGGCCAATACAACGCCCGACCGCCTTTGTCACCCCAGTGCTGTTGTTTACACATCGCTCCATGATACTCATTTAAGGCCGAGTATACCTAAAGGAGGCCCGGGACTAGTTCAGATAATCGCCACCGCTGTTAGTCGTGAGCGGTAATCGAACTGCGGCCGCCGAGTTCTTAGCACGGCGCGCACCCCGCTACACCGCCGCTCCCCACAAAACAATAGACAAAGATCCCCCGTGTAGCCTTAACAGACTGTTGGGGCAAGTGCTGTTAGCGAGCAGCACCTATTAAGGCCGGAAACGGCACACGAGGGGGTGGGTGGCCAGCACTACGCCCGGCCGCCTTTGTCTTCCCAGTGGCGATCTTTACACACCGCACCAGGTACTCATTTGAGGCTGAGTCGACCTATGGAATGCCCAGGACCGGTTCAGGTAATCGTCACCGGTGTTGGCCGTGAGCGGGAATCGAACTCGGGTTGTCGGGTTCGCAGCGCGGCGCGCTAACCGCTGCGCCACCGCTCCCCACAGTGCAATGCGCACACAGAGACACGTGACACGCGCGCTTTGAGGATCAAGAGCGAAAGACATTAGCGTCTCTGTCTCGCCGCTGCTGCTGATGTTGCTGAGCTCGTGATGGGCTTTGGCCGTGGGTTTTATTTATTTCATTGTTCCCCCATGACATTTCGCATGAATGAGACCCCCTCCCCCCCACCGCTCTCGCACGCCCGCGCGTTGCGTCGTGCACGCGTCCCATCGGCAGCGGCCGCAACTGCTGCTGCCCTTTCCCGGCGGGGGTTAGGGGTGTGTGTGTGGGGGGGGGGTCCCCATCGCTGGGGGACTCTGCTACATCAGGGGCTGTTGGCACAGCGGGACGTGGCTCGGAAAGAGATGCCCGTTGTGAGGCCGTCACCGTGCTCCGAGGAGCGGCACGCACGGAGCGGCTGTTAGTGGCCCGTCACCCTCCCCCCCCCTCCAGCCCCCTTTAATTTGGATTCGCGGGGTCCGCGATGGACGGGTGCGCGAACCCCCTTCCGTGGTAGCAGCTGGTGGCAGTGATGCGGCTCCTCGGAAGCGAGAGAGTTGCTCTTCCGCCGAGAGGTTTGGTGACACTCACGAACCAGCTGCACTGCGGAGTGGCAGGACGGAAGGTGGAGCGGTGCCGCTGCAGTCCACGCACTCTGCCGTGGAACCCCGGGACGTGAGCTCGATTCTCTGGGCCACGATCAATATCGGTGGTGATATCTGAACTGGTCCTGCCGCCGCCCCCCCCCCCCCCCTCCACATCCCATCACCAATTGGCACCGACCAGCGAGGTGAAGTATGGTCAGAAAGTCCCCCGGGGAGGCCATCATTCAGCAGTGGATTAAAATTGTGTTACACATTTATGTTTATGTATCTTGCATGATGAGCGTGTACACTGATTCACACACACAGTGGCACGCATCTCACGCAGTGACACGCGTCTCACACAGTGACACGCGTCTCACACAGTGACACGCGTCTCACACAGTGACACGCGTCTCACACAGTGACACGCGTCTCACACAGTGACACGCGTCTCACACAGTGACACGCGTCTCACACAGTGACACGCGTCTCACACAGTGACACGCGTCTCACACAGTGACACGCGTCTCACACAGTGACACGCGTCTCACACAGTGACACGCGTCTCACACAGTGATACGCAACTCACACAGTGACACGCGTCTCACACAGTGACACGCGTCTCACACAGTGACACGCGTCTCACACGGTGACACGCGTCTCACACAGTGACACGCGTCTCACACAGTGACACGCGTCTCACACAGTGACACGCGTCTCACACAGTGACACGCGTCTCACACAGTGACACGCGTCTCACACAGCGACACGCCTCTCACACAGTGACACGCGTCTCACACAGTGACACGCGTCTCACACAGTGACACGCAACTCACACAGTGACACGCGTCTCACACAGTGACACGCGTCTCACACAGTGACAGGCGTCTCACACAGTGATACGCGTCTCACACATTGACACGCGTCTCACACAGTGACACGCGTCTCACACAGTGACAGGCGTCTCACACAGTGACACGCGTCTCACACAGTGACACGCGTCTCACACAGTGACACGCGTCTCACACAGTGACACGCGTCTCACACAGTGACACGCGTCTCACACAGTGACACGCATCTCACACATTGACACGCGTCTCACACAGTGACACGCGTCTCACACAGTGACACGCGTCTCACACAGTGACACGCGTCTCACACAGTGACACGCGTCTCACACAGTGACACGCGTCTCACACAGTGACACGCGTCTCACACAGTGACACGCGTCTCACACAGTGACACGCGTCTCACACAGTGACACGCGTCTCACACAGTGACACGCGTCTCACACAGTGACACGCGTCTCACACAGTGACACGCGTCTCACACAGTGACACGCAACTCACACAGTGACACGCGTCTCACACAGTGACACGCGTCTCACACAGTGACAGGCGTCTCACACAGTGACACGCGTCTCACACAGTGACACGCGTCTCACACAG